CTGGGCTGTTCCTGCAGCAGCTGCGCTGCTGTTTTTCTCCAGCAAACTCCCACCATCTCCCGAGGCCTGTGAGTCTCTGCCACGAGTGCAGTGGGCAGCCCCTCTGGGCAGTGACAGTGCCAAGGTCTGTCCTAACTCTGGAACCCCTGCAGAAATGTGCAGGGGATCAGTGCCTTGGAAAAACCTCTCAACACTGTTGCATTATTATTTATTTTTCTTCTGCTTCAAGGACAATGCTCTTCAAACCAAGAGATGTCACAAAGGAGCCCTGGGCTGTATAAATATAGAATCCTTTTTATTTTTTTGGTTAATAGATACAGTACAATTTTGGACTACATAAGAAAGCCTTGTTTTCAGTGCATACATTCTTCAGACAGACAGGAACACGGCAGACAAACATTCCTTGTGGTTGGAGGATTACATGGCACTTGGTTTATTCCTGTAAGTCCCAAGTTACTGGCTTTTCCCAGTTTTCTGTAGCTGCTTTGACAACTCAAGGTCTGAGGAAAAATGAATTGAGAACGAAGGATGTGCCAGCTCTTGTGGCACAGGAGGACTGGGCAGGAGAACAGGGCACCGCTCAGCCCATCCCACACTGCTCTTCCTGCAACCACGGCATCACATCATATCCCACATGACCCAGCCCAGCAAGATTTCTGGGCTATTTTAACAAAAACTGGAAACAACAAATGTCAAACAAACCAAGCAGTGCTTGTGCCAACACCTGTGCAGAGACTGACTGTGAGAGGGTCAGACCCCGGGCTCCTCCTGCCCTTCACTGGTGGGAGACGGTGCTGCCGCCACACCTGCTGGGTTTTGTGAGGTGGTGCAAACCAGGACAGTGGACCCCAGGGTTTGGCCATCACTCTTGCAGGGAGGGACAAAAGAATTATTGCTCCTTTCTGAGCTTTCTGTTCACTGCATGGTAAGCAAAAAAACCCCGGGCAGGAACTGCTGCCCTCAGGAGAGCCCAACAGGGCTTCATCCTGTTCTGCAGCAATCTGGGGGTGCTGTTCCCTGCAGACAGCTCCTGGTGGTGTCCAGTTGGTGCTGATGGGAGATAGAGACCCCCAGCCCCATCCTGGATCCAGCCTGGAAAGCGGGACAGGCAGTGCTCCAGTCAGGATCCCTGAGGACATCAGTCAAGATGGGACCGGCCACTGCCAGGGTCCTGTGGCCACTGCAGTGTGTGAGGACAGGAGTGCCTGGACACCCTGGGATACCCTTGGCCTTTGCCCAGCAGGGGACCAGGAGCAGGGCTGGTGTTGGTGGGGCATCAAGCAGAGCAGTTTAGGCCTAAATGTGTTCACCTTCAGCTTTCAGTGGCTTCGTTCGAGACCATTACTCAGAGTTTCGGTTTTTATCTGACCTTCCTTGATTACCCCAAGCAGATACTGTGGGCCCATGTCCTGGTTAGGACCCCTTTCTTATAAAGATGACTCGGAAGAGTCTTAAGAAACCTCACTGTTGGAGGAAATGACTCAGAGAACGATCAGGCTCACACAGTCACCGACCTTCATTTTGCTCCAAACACCGATACTGAAAAATCAGCAAATAAAAAAAGCTTCTCCTGTTCAGGGAAGGACACACAGAGGCTTCCAGACAAACTCATATGAACTAGTTTTCCTTGGCTATATATTGAAAACAATTTAATGTGAAAAAAAGCTTACTTTAGATTATCTAGATCAGCCTCTGCAGGCACAGGACACCCAGGGAGGAGCAGAGTGAAATGATCCTAGAGCTGACCCAGAGAAAAGGCAGAGCACGGCAACCCAGGGGGCCTGGGAGAGCACATCTCAAGGAGCAGAGGAAAGAGAGAAAAGAGGGGATAGGAAAGCAGACTCTTCCAAACTCAGCCTGACCAACAACGTGCAGCTGAAGGCACTTCTCCTGGGACACCCACGGGGCAGGTGATTGTTGGAGAGAAGACAACCCAGTTCTGGGGAGCTCCCAGCTCCTCTGCCCTCATTCTCTGGGGTTCCAAGAGCCCAAACCCAGGAGGGAGCACCACCAAAGGAAACAAAGGTCACTGCAGAAACACTGAGCTCAGCCAGCCCAGACAGCAGCTGGCACACAGGAGTGAGTGAGAATCCCTGAGAAGTCTGAAAATACAATAAAACATCACATCAGTGAAACAATTTGCCCCTTCTGACCCTCTGGCCACTGCACCAGCCTTCAGTGAAAACTGAGGCACTGGAAACTCCTCACCTATAACAGGAGCCGTGGGGTGACACTTCCAGGAATGAGATAAACCTGCCAAATTCCTCCAGATCCCTGTTTCCTAACTGAAACTAAATAATGTGGAGAATAAAGGAGAGGCAGAGACACTCCCAGCCAAGAGAACTGCTCTGAAATGGCACTGGTGGGGCACTGTAAACTGGAGCCTGGCCTGCAAGCATTAGTGAAATGTTTAGTAACAATACTTAACTCTGTTATGTCTGGGCATCTCTTTCTCTTTGGACTAAAATGTTACACATTTTACCATATAAATGAATCATTATATCTGTTGCTACTGGGTACACTATATACATCACTGGAAGGAAAGAACAATAATTAAATTAAGGGAGGAGAGAAAAAGGACAAACAAAATATTAGTAAATAAAATAGAAGACATATGTTCAATAATACTTTTCAGGCAATGCTTTTGCTTGTTACATTTACTATAAGGAGGAATAAAAAAAAAAATCTTCCACTCAAAATAAGCACTGGAAACATCTGCCCAAATTCAGTCCCTTCACTGCCGGGGCTCTTGAAGGGGGAAGCGGATGTTGGTCTTGCTCCAGACCTTTCTGATGATGCTCTGCAGAGGAGCCCTCAGATTTGGGGGGCTGTCAGTGCAAGCAGGGTTTTAGAAGATCCTCTGCTCTGTTTCCCACCCTCAGGTAATGCAGAAAGGTTGATGTGGTTCCTGAGAGCCACAGGGGATGTCCCCACACTCCCTGTGGGTCCAAACGAGCTCCTCGTGCCTCTGGGCTCAGCAAGGTCACCAGAAACCCTGACAGCTCCTCCTTTAGACAGTGGGAAGGTGACACACTCAGTCCTGCCAGCAGTGTTTCCCATTCTTCATCACAAACATGCAGGTTTTGCCCTGCACATGCTTATTATAAAGTTTGCAAGTGAAGGTTTACAAACGCTGTGTTCTCACCCTGCAGCAACAAACACCTCACTCTGCTGCCACCAACAGCACAGCACCAACTGGCTGCACCTCCTTCTCCTTTTGTCTCATGAATAAATTATTTCCATCAGAAGTAGTTGATTACTCGATCAGAGCTGCAGATAATTAGTGTTTGATGAGAAACAGACCCAATGAGCTTTCTGGGGCTCATCAGATGAATTCCTTCCCAGTAGTTTCTTCTCTTACACAACCAGCTCTATTTAATACACAGGTACTAAAATACAAAGCAGTGCAAAATGACCACAAAGCAAGTAGAGCCCACCCCCACCTGGCAGGGGCACGGTGAGCAGGGGGCTCCTGGGGGACTGCAGTGATTTCCTTAATGCTCTAAGCCAAGGAGAGGGAGCAGAGCAGTTCCCCAGAGCCCACCCTTCAGGTGCCTGAGCCTTCACAGTTACCGTGGGCCGGGCTTTGGGGACTTGTCTTCCCCTTTGCTGATACCTGAGGCTCGTTTGTGATTCCTTCAGCGTAGCCCATGTAACCACTCACCCAGCAAAGCTCCTTGGCTGCTGTGAGGGTGCTCAGCTGTCTTTGCCAAGGTAACAGAATCGTTTTGCAGGGGTTGGATTCCCCCCCTCCACTTTTGACTCCTGAAGAAAAAGTCTTTTTTTGCTGAAGAAGTCAAATCAAGGAAGAAAAGGGAAGGGTTGTGCAGACCTTGGAGCAAACTACACAGGGAGCCATTTATAGCCCAAGTTTATAACTCAGAGGTCACAGCCCCGACTGTCAATGAACATCTTTCTCATCCTTGCTTTTTCTACATGCAACCTTCCTGAATTTTTAAGGTCAGCTCTGACCTGTTCCAGAGCTCATGGAATGAGCAGGATTAGCTGCTGGGTTTGTGGGGATGGACAGGGAGCACAGGGGCCCTGGGCATGCAGGGGGTGTGCAGGGCCCTGCCCACAGGCAGCTTTGGGGCTGGGGGAAACACCCTGTGAATTCCTCCCACGGGAGAACCTGCCATCCTTTCAGTCCTGCTGCCACAGCATTGGCATGGAGCCGGGAAGGGCACTGAACATCACACCAGGGTTTGCCTTGGCAAGGCAGTCAGGGAGGAATGTGTGGCACACAGATCGGCAGCTTAGCACGGGCTCGTATTCCCAGATCAAACTGCTGGGCATTTGCCACAGGATCCAAAGGAAATGGTTTTCTTTTTAGTTTTTTTTTTAGTGACCAGCCTGTGTGCAGGAAGGAAAGAGAGCCATGTTGCTGCCCTGCTGGTGCCTCAAGGGGGGTGTGTTTGTGTGGGACTCTCAGAGTGTTTTGTCCACACACAAACATGTGCATGTGAGCTGGGAAATCCTGCTGAAGCTTAAGAAGGTTCATATTTAAGGCACTGATTTGCCCTGCAATCACTACAGATGCATCTCCAGCAAGGCTCCCTATTGCATGTAGGCTAAAAAACTGCTGTTTGAGCAAGGAGAAAGCCCAGGGAAGCAGATTTAAGCCCATTGTGTGCCCTGATGGCCCAAGTCTGCCTCTTGGTGCATGAGTACTGCCAGCTTTCTCTGGGCCACACCATTTTCAGGAGTGTACCCTGTGGGCAGTGGAAATTAGTAAATTCAAATTGCAACAAAGGTATCTTGGATTTCAAAGTATTTCAGAAATATTTACAGGAGTTGAGATCCCAGGTTAAGAACAGTGCTTCAGTTTTTGGCTTTTCTCCAAACCCAAAGCATTGATGTGTTTGTTTGGCTGCTGTTTACACCTGATCCCTTCCATCCCTGGACTAACCAATCCCTAGGCCAGTAGCTCAAATCCTGTGTTCACAGCTAGCTTGGCAGGGCTCTCATGGAGTAAGACAGGAAGGAAGGAACCTGTGGATCTGCACATGCCTGTGCCCAGCCCCAGCCAGGGAGGAGTGGCAGGGCTGGGGTTCCAGCTCCTCCCTGCAGTTCTGATGGACAGAACCTTCATTTACTGCACAAGTGGCAATAGGCCTTTAAAGTCAGTCGAGGAGATGCTCTTAAAATGTTTCTATTCACATCAGAACCATTGTCCTGGGAGATCTGCCTTCCATTCCATGCAGGCCTGGAGACAGGGGAGGACCCAGCCAGGCTGGAGGTGCAGCCTGGGCAGGGTTTGGTTACACCGGGGGGGCCGAGTAGTGGATGACGGAGTTGTAGTCTGGGGGCGGGCTGTGGCATTCCAGGTTTGGATCCATGGGGAGCAGAACAGAGTCTTCCATCGTGAAATCCATGGTGTCCTCTTCCACCTGCACTGCTGGCTGGTACTTGACGGCCTCGTGGTCAGAGAGGATGGATTCCTTGCTCCTGCTGACAGCTCTCCTCCTGTGGGGAACAAACCACGGGATAGATCCACCCTGTCTCGCCAGCCTTGGTCTCTGGGTGCAATTAATGGTCAAAACGGGTTTTTTTCTAAAGTAAATATATAAATCATCCCAGCTCCCATTTGCAGCACCCTGTAGGACAGTGACATTTTACTTGTTGGATAAGGGAACTGAATTAGGAATTTTGACTAACTCAGTGTTTTAAAAGTAGCTTTAGGAGTAAATGCAGGAGCTGTGTTGCCCTGTCTGTTTATCTTACCTCATCTCAGCTCTCTTAGTTATAAAGGCACCTGTCCTATACATACCACAATATTCTCTCTCATTGTTCTGACACAGGTCAGTAAAAATTTGACTCTTCTGAAAGCAGAACTGAAGGCTATGACTTTTCCAGAAGTATAATAAAGGATGAAATACTGAGTAACCTCTGACAGACTGTAATTTAAAATGATACTGAAAGGAAGGGTGTGTGTTGAAGACACTCTTGCAGTGCAGGGCTAAACCTCTCCTGCACTGCCCAGCCCTTCCCAAGCCCTGGTGAAGGGCAGCTCTTTGCAGAGTTCCAGCTGCTGTTCTGTGGCTGCTGCTGATGGAGGGAGCAGCTTCCTCTCCTGCTGCCTTCCCTCCTTACAGCTGATGGAGAGCAGCAACTTCCAGCACATGGAGCAATCTCAGTGCTAAAAGCAGGAGAAGCCTGGAGAGGATTTGTATCACAAGGTGCCCTTGAGGAACAGCAAGTGTTGTGGGGAGGAAAAAAAGGTACTTTCTGTCACAGGCTGCCCTAAAAATAATGTTCTGTCAACCTTGTTTTTCTCCCTCTGAGCAATTCACTGGAAGAGGCTTGGATAACTTAGGGTTGGTTCTCAAAAGGATCCCAATGTGAGAGTGGTTTTTAATCTTCTGCACTTTGCTCAGGACCCTTCGAGGTGCTATTTGGGACAGACCCACCACAGCACTCAGTTCAGAGGGACAGGAATGTGCCTGGGAGGATTTAAAATCAGGCAGTGCCCAAGCACATATTTCACATGTGTTTCAAGTAGCATAAAGCTGCATTTTAACGACTGTAAAGCAAGTCTGGATAACCAACAGTTCATCAAAGAAGTGCAGAATTCAGTACACTTGTTTTGCATGTCTGCATCTCCAGCTTTGTCTCTAAGAAGTGAACCCAGGAGCCCTGAGTTGTAAGAGCCAGCCCACTGTGTCTTGCATGTCTAGGATGGATTGGGGTTCTGTGCAGTGCAAAGGCAGAGGTTACAGAGCAAAGCTGCTGTTCCTGTGCTTTCAGACCTGCACAAGGCACTGCAACCAAGCCTGTGGAGCAGCAAAGCAGAAATTCTAAAAGAAATAGGAACCCTGAGAACTCCAACAAAAATGCAGCACACTCTGCTCTTACAATCTAAGCTTTTCCTCTCTGTCCAGAGAAAAACCTGAGTGGAAACTGCTTATATATCCTATACATTTGTCAGCTGCCCCTTCCTCTACACACACAGCTTCTCTGCAGATGAATTCTTCCCTGGCCTGAGCACTGGAACCACAGCTTTGCCTCACTGTTTATTTCTGTAACTCTCTTTTTGTTGCTCAGTTCTGTTGACTCATGTGGGACAATTCCACAGATGCTCCTGCCTTCCAATTTGCCAGGTATGAAAGTTGTCAGTGGAGCCTGAGAGAAGCTTGAAAGCACCTGTTTAACTTGGCCCACAGCCTGCCTATCTCAGAGTGCTGCAAGGAAAGAAAAGTTAGTGGGGTTTAGTGTGGCCACAGTGGGAAACTTTCAGTGCCCTGTAGTCTCCCAGCAAGTTTTGTTGGGTTTGTGCCCCTGGAGGTCAGGAGACTGGATATTTGGGAATAACCTATTGCTGGAATGGGGCTGGTGTTGGAAGGACTCTTCAGTGCTGGTATCAGCGTCTGCTCCAAAGGCAGAAAGCTGGGAATGAGCTCAGCTTTTGTCATTGGCTCTCCTGTGGCAGACTAAAATGCAATTAACTTCCCAAACTATTCCTTTCATGTAACTGCATTTCCTGAGCACCCAGAGCCCACAGTGTGGGGTGGCTGTGCCCACGGGGCAGCCCCAGCTGGGAGCCTGGACAAGGGTGTTCAGTGGGAATTAGAGCCATTAACAGCTCCCCTTCTCCTGGGCTCTGGCAGATTTTCTACTACAGATGAAGCTGAAAACAGCAGGAATTACATGTAGGAAAAGTTAGCCTGAATATTAAGTAATATGTTTCACAAACTTTTTTTGGAGTTTTCTGAAGGTGCCAAAGTTGTTTAGAGGATACCACAGAGGATAATCCTGCAATAGCCAGAGGGCCTAAATGACCTACTGAGGCCTTTTCTTCCTGCTGTGGGAACCAGAGATTTTGGTTAGAGGAGAAAAATCCTGAAAGCATCAAAGAGCTGGGAAATCATTGCTGGAGCTGTTTATTTTATGTGAGAGGGAGCCAGTTGCTATTAGTCTAAATTTTGGGGTCAATGACTTGAAGAGGAGCCTGGAGAAAGAGAAGATGACTGAGAGAAAATCCCCCTGTGCAGGGAGGGCCTCCAGCACCAAGAGCAGAACTTCCTCCAGTTCTGTGGAGCAGCTCCTACTGCTCTGCCATAAGAAGCCCTCACTGGGAAAAACGAACAGATTTTTGTGTCCATGTAGGAATTCTGGCTGTGTGTTTATGGAAAGATGAGAAATTGGGTGTTGCCCAGCAGAGCCGTTTGTCTCATGATCACACCTCTTATTAACACGTAGGAGCCTCAGGGCTTTGGAGGGGCTTTCATGGGTGTCTAATGAGGCACAGAGTGACTACTCTTTTTTTTAAATTATTTTAATTTTTCTGCAATTAAAGAAAAGGCTTGTTTTTCCTTCTGGTAGTTATGACTGATTCACAGTTTGCTTTGATACATTTTAGACTGAGTGCTGTGCAGTAGGAATTTCATCCTGGGTTCCCCTCTGGCAGTATCAGTGCATCAGGACTGTGCTGGCACAGAGAACTCAAGGGATTGGGATCAGGAATTTGTTGTTTTCAACACTTCTACATACAAAGTACAGGTAACATAAAGTTTCCACAGGCCAAAACCACCCACTCCTTGCATCTGTGTCCCCTCCTGTGTGGCCAAGCTGCCCAGATGTCCCTGATACTTCCCCCAGCACCCCAAAAGCAGTGAGATGGAAAGCACCACAGTCAAACCCAGGCTGGGGACACAGCCATGCACAATTCTCCTTTCAGTCCCTGCTACTTTAAGCATAATCCTGGGGAAAAAAAGGGCTTACAAAACTCCTGAGCAGCTACTCATTCAAAACTCTACTTTGCAGAGCTCAGGCCAGGTCAGAAGGGGCAGGACACAACAGTAAGTATATTTATTATCTCAACATCACAGAATAAAACCCTTCTGGAGCTCTTTCTGCCCTGGAGCAGAGACGGTTCCTGCCTCATTCTCTGAGAACCAAAAGGATTCCAACCCAAGGCAGGCTGAATTTTTGGGGGGCACCCTGTGTTTGGCCATGAGTGCCTGATGCTCCAGAGCAAACCCATCTGTTTCAGCAGCACTGATTTGCCTTAGGCCCAGTTTGGCTTTGGCAAAGGCAGCACCCAGAGCCCAGGGGGATCAGCTGAGCTGGTGTGGGCCTTGAACACAACCAGATCAGCAGTGTCAGAGCAGATGAGGAGAGCTGGACTGGGGGGGAGACAGGACAACTGGGCAGATATCACCCCTTTTATAATTTTAAGCGATAACTTGATTGTCTTGGAGAATTTTAAAGCAGTGCTTGGCAGCAGCCTGTGAGCTGAGAGTCATCCCAGCATTCCATCCCTCTGTGGTCTCTGTGCTTCCCTCAATGCTGGCTCCCTGACCCCAGTCAGTCTGTCTCTCACTGCAGCTACTGCTCTGACTTTCTGCCTCAGCTAGAAAATAATCAGAAAGGATCAGTCTGGCCTAAAAGTGGTCCCAGGCCCAGAGTATCAGATTCACCTCCAAGAAACTCTCGACACCGACACTCCATGGTGTGTGCTGTTGGCAAGATTTACACTCCTCAGAGGAATGAATGCAGGACAAATAAACAGCGAGATTTTGGCAAAAATAATAAATGCAGCCACCCTGGTTTAGCAAACATGCTCAGCCTTTGAACAGTTTTGTTTTAGAAAAGAAAGACTTTGAAAAGGATCCAGGGTAAATGTTTTTGATAGAAGGAGATACACAATTAACAAGGGTGACTTTATCTCCCCTGTTAAACCCACATCCCTTCTGACCTCTCCAGACTGTTCTAAATGCTTTGGAGGCTTGTTTTCCAAGTTCTCAGTGCAGGAGCACCCAGGGGTGTCCTGTCCTCAAACGAGAGGGCACTGGGGTGCTCTGCACTGTGTTCCAGCTGCTATTTGTGCCAGTGACACTCTGCTAGAGTGAAAAAAGAGGAAAAAAGAAGCTGACAAAGTCACTGTCTCAGCTGGACCTCAAACACTTGGTGAAGGATGTGGCCAAGGAAAACCACACCTCTGTCCCTCCATCCCATGGGAATCAGGGCCTGGGAACGAGGGGACAGCAAACAGCTGCTGCAGGGTTTGCTGTCACAGCAGCTCTTTGGAATGGTCTCCCAGGGCCTGGCTGGCACACAAAGGATCAGGTATCTCATGAGGAATGGAATCCCTACGGAAGTGTGGGCTGGAAAGGGGGAAAACCCAGCTGGAGGGGGTCACTGACCCCACAGGGCCATGGCACTTCCCACTCACTCCCAGTGAGGCTGACAGCTGTTCAGGTTTTCCTGGAAATCTCTGAAGAACAGGCTGTTCTGGAATTCTGGTGGTTTTCTATACCTATCTGGACACTGATTTTCCTGAATTTCAGCAGACAGCCTGGAAGGGGCAGAGGGAGAACCTGCCTTTGCCAGCTCCTGATCCAAGTGGGAGACATGCAGCAGGGAGCAGCAGGCAGAGGTGACTGCCAGGAATCTTTAGAAGGATAAAGCGTCCCAGGGAGGCTATTTGTGTGTATGTGTGTGTGTGTTAAAGGAGGTAAATCAGCCCAGGTACAGCATCCCAGTAATGCAGGTTCTGACATCTGAGCTCGTGGTTCCAGAGCTGGAGCCGTTTGGTCTCCATAGCAATGCCCTGAGCTGGCAGGAATCCTCTGCACAGCACAAACCCACAGAGCCACATCCAGATCTCTGCTGATCCCCAACAGGCACAGCCCTGGGACAGTGCTGGGACAGGGGAAATGCTGCTGGACAACATTATTCCTGAAGTCACGCTCCTATCCAGCAAAATCCAGAGCATTTGGATGCTCCCTAGTTGTTGTCTAGAATTCCCTACGTAAACTTCTCCCTTTACCTCCTCTCCTGCTGATGGTTTTAAGGCCTGATAGACAAGGCAGCTCCTTCCCTCTGCTTTTCTCCCTGAGTGGAGCAGCCACCCCTCCAAAACACTGGCACTCTCTCCCCAGGCACTCTCACAGGAACTCTCCCATAACATCCACAACTGCAGGAGGGTTTTTCTCATCTATAATTTCTGTTTAATGTAGAAAAGTGGTGAGTTGGGGTAGAACAAGGAACTGTTCTGGTGGGAAAGGTCATTGAGTTTGACAGAGGAAACGAATCCAAATCTCACCAACAGATTTTCAGGAAATTCAGTAAAAGTCTAATTAGCTCAGTGAACTGAATAGACATGGAATTCTGTGCTACAGAATTGTTTCTTTTTTATATTTTGGGCAGCTGTTCTTTGAAATTCTACCTGTTGACATTTCAATCAGGGTTACTATTGTCAGGAAGGTGGAGAAGGCCTGGTTCACTGCAAGGTCACCTCTCTGCCTGTGGGATTGTTACTGAAATGCAAAGAACTGGGAGCAAAAACCTAAATATCTGCTTTTATTCCTCTGTGATTGTACTATGAAGGGATAAACACAAAGGGATAAACTTAAACAGCCTCTGTTTGTAAACCAGGCCTGAGAACAGAACTCCTGGGACCCTGGAGGTGGTGGGGCTGCAGGACTGGCTTCACCGTGGTGATAACATAAATGCAGCAATCTGGTAAATGTACTTGCTTGGCAGTGCTTATACCATTCTTCACTGTGCACACCTTCCTAACTTCACCCACATCCCACCAGCTGCACAGGTTCCAGTCCTGCTGCGTGTCCAAGGTAAAACATGCAGGCTGGTATAATCATAAATGTTATGTTTTGAGTGAATAAATCAGGTTCTTCAAACTATGTTCCATCAGCAAAGGAGAACACTGGGAAAGCCCTCAAGAAACAGCTAAAGTAGACATGGATATTGTCAGCCTTTTCGCTCCTATCACTCCCCACTCACAGAATATTCTGCCCCTTGCTCTCCAAGTACATTAACCACAGTTCTGAAATTCAGAGCTGCAACTCCTGTGAGCTTGTTGGGATGGCCCAGCAGTTTTCCTTTTGGGAATTTCAGCAACCTTTAGAAAGGGATCCCCTGAGTACTCACGCCAGAGCCATGATCCCGTAGGGCCAGGAACGGATTTCCAGCCTCTTGGGGCTTTTGATCTCGTCTGACGTCAGCACCATCCCACTGTCCGACTCCTGAGGGAAAAAAGGAAGGAACATCAGTGATAACCTGGGACCTGTGCCCTGGGCCTGGTGCAGGGCCCACCAATCCATCAGAATATTCCCTTCTCAGGGCCTGTGTTATCAGTTTTTATCCAGCTGTTCCTCTGATGCTGCTCTGGAGCCCCAGAACACTTCCCCTGTTTCTGTGATGCTGAAGCTTTTGATTTGTATTTGGAAGGAGCAGCCTTCAAATGAAAAAAATACCAAAAAATAATGTGACATTTTCCAATTTGAAATTGATATTAAGCATATGGGTGCCATGTACGTGGGAGGGAGATATGAACAGACTGAATTCATAGAGAACATAGCCAGGAACTCTGGCTGGGTTCCTCCAAGAACAAGCTCCCCAAATACCTCCTAGAAATGCACTTTTAGGAACCCTGAAATTTGAAGGGAGTGGAAGTTCAGAAGCATTCTGCAAAGATACAGAGCCTTTGGTTGTGGATTTTTTATGAGCCATCCAAAAAACCTGTCCAGGCTGCAGTTCAGATCAAGCTGTTACTGTGCAAAGTGTGTACAAGTTCTCAGACACCACAGTCCTCAATTTAAGTAATTTAAAAATATTAAATATTCTGGGGAGTTCCTTTGCCTTTGAAATCCTCTGTGATGCTGGACAGTTGCATGTCTGTGTGTTTGTCCAAACTGAGACAGCAAAAGACTCCAATATAGAAGTGAAACTCTAGTTAGTCTTATTTTACCAGTCAAACTAACTGGAGTACAAAAAACAATCCCAGCAAGCAACAAATAGCAAGCAAAATCTTTTTTTATAAATACTGTGGGCATATATCAGTTGTTAATAAGATCAGCCTAGAAACTGGTTTCCAAATATAAAGTAAAATCCTAAATGAATGATGTCTGTCAGAGCCTCAGTAGAGCCCAGCTTGCCTCTGGTTTTTATCTGGACTGTTTCCCCCTGGAACACATGGTCCAGGAGCAGTTTATCTGAGGGCTGCTCTGCATTTTGCTTACACTTGTCTGTTAAAAGAATATCCACAGGGACTGCAGATAAGTGGCACAATTGCAGGAAGGTGTGGTAGAGCACTTGGAGAGATCCTGGGCAACTGTTTGAAATAATGACCTAATGACTATTAATGTCATGATATTTAAGATAATTTTAGCAACACAAGTGCACTTACTTTGTCCCAGAGCAGACCACACCATAATTCAGCTTTAAAAGATCCTGACTGAAACACCACATTTATTTCTGATCTGATGATGTGCTATTACCCTTCTTTTGAAACTTTTCCCTCTTCATGTAAGGACTTGCTTTAAAATGCCATGAACAGGGAGCTCTTAGGCAAGTGATGCTCGTGCTGGCGGCAGTAATCTCTCACTGATACCGGATGGGTGTAGGAAATGTCTCTCTGTGATTCAGAGGGACAGATTTTTATCCTGCAAGAGGAAAGAGGCAGAGCCTGAGAAATTTCTGAGCCTTCTAATCCCTGAGATGCAGCGATAAAGAGGCAGAAATTACAGCTGGCAAAGGCTTAGGGAATAATGGGCCTCCATTTGTGTGACCAGAGAAAAGTGAGAAAAGGACTTGTCAAGGACATGAAATATGTCCAGGACAGGTTGGAGCTGAGACTTGAGCCTCCCTAAGGGGGCTGGCTCTGTCCAAGAGGGACTCTGAGCTGCTCCTCACCACCTGAGCCCTGCCCTCCTCCCCTGCCAGGAGCTCTCCTGAGGGTTCCAAGCTTCCCTCCTAAACTTTGATCCCCTTGAGGCATCCCTGGAGCACAGAGACCCCTCCCTGGTGGCGCAGAGCGTGTCCCTGAGACAGGGGGTGTGGGCAGCACAGGAGCTGCAGCCAGGGAGGGTCTGAGCCACTCAGGCAACCCAGGAGCTGGGCTCTGGTTTTTTTAAATACAGAAGGAAAAAATGGAAAGAAAAACCCCTCCAACCTGCAGTTTCAGAGGAAGCCAACAAGCAGATCCATCACTCTGAAACAAAACAAGCTTTTGTTTCAGTGAAAATTAAACCCTTTAACACTCTCACTTTAACACTGTTCACTTTGTGTGACCAAGAGCAGGATCTTGAATCCTGCTCTTGTCTACCTAGAACTGAACACCCTCACCCCCACCAAATTACTGGCTGTCTCAGCCAGCCTGAATGTGTTCTGGACACATTGCCCTCAAAGAGCCTCATTTCAATGAGCTGCCACTTTCTTATAGTGGAAAAACATCTTGAAATATGTAATACAAAGGCCCTTGGCCTGATCAAAGCCAGGGGAATCACACATGAGCTTCTCTTTAAATTATTTGTTAAGCAAAATGCAGGTCCCTCTTAGTTGTCACTCAGACCTGTGTGTGAGATGCCAGGGCCAAACCTTCTGCCTGATTTAAAGCTGTTTCTGAGCAAACAGATTTCACAAGCTCCAGTAGGTGTTTCTGGGGCTGGTGACGAGTGATCTGTGAACCTGGTGGGGCAGGAGGCAGTCACCTCACTTACCTCATGCAGCACTTTCTCCTTTTCCACTGGCACCTCATCAAATGTCTTCACACTCAGGGGTCTCTTCTTGCTGTTGTTTCTGCAAGCAGGAAAGTGGAGGGGTCAGCACCAACCCAAGCAGATGCTGCAGCAGTTGGTGCCTCAGTTACACCCTGACCCAGCTCAGTCTCCTGGACCAGTTTTCTTATTCCATCTCTCACAACCAATAACCAACACCCTGACAAATCTGTCTGCCTCTTTAACCAGCACTACTGGGAGAGGACACCAGACAGGGCCCAGCTCCAGGGAATCTTTCCCTCTCTGCCACCCCTGTCTCAGTTTTCCTCACCCAGTTTCCACTGCACTCCAGCGATTCACTCCAGGGGTCGAGTTTTCTTCCACAGGGCCAGTTTTGGGGTTGGATTCTCCATCGGGACACAGGGTGATGTTCAGTGGAATGTAGTCTTTACCATCCTAGAGAATTAATAACAGGAAGGAACACAAAGCTGGTGAAGTTCATCTTGTGCTGCATCTCAGTGTAAGAGGTTCTTGTGTTCTACAGAGCTTTACACTGGGAAAGGACTGGATTTTATTTCAATTTATGATGTTTCTTCAAAGTGATTGTGATGCTCTTTCCATCATTCCTACATTCCAGATGTGAGGCTGTGCTACCTTCAGGGAGGGGTAGGACACTGATCTGCCCTTCAGGAAAGCAGTCTATACTGTCATTGCCTCTTAGGGAATTCCAAGGGACAGCCCTGGAGAAGGGAGGGAGTGACAGGAATTCCCAAACCCCTGGGGCTGACAGGACTTGAACAGAGCTTGGAATTGGTAAAAGCACAGTGCCTATGTGTAGACTCTTTGGGTTTGTTCAGCTTCAGGAGCTGTAGCTGGGAAGAGCTGGTCCTTCAAGTGGGAGCCTGGAAGGACTTTATTTCTTGTCCTTCCAAGGAATAAAACGAGCTCTGCACTGTCATCACCCCCTGCAGGACTCCCAGACATGACTCTGCCTTTAAGGCCTGAAACCATTTGTCCAAATTTCTCTTTGCTTATTTTTTGTTTTTAATTTTGAGAAGCAGTTAAGTGCCCTATTCCCTTATCATGATTTTTATGTCTCCTTAATTTACTTTGGTTATAGAATAAAACTCCCAAGCTCTTAATGTTGCAGACTGGGCCCTCTTCAACTCAGCTCCACTACAGTTGTTTACAAACAGGAAGGAGATGTTTGATCTCTTTTTAAACTGACAATTGCATTTCTGGTTGTTTTTAATGAAGAGGAAAACAACTGAATTAACTATTATGACATTAATAATGCTCTAACTGACTTTCTGAGCTTTAAACTACATAATTGTAAAGCTCCTAAGAGCACTGGTGGACGTAATCTTGGAAAATGAGAAAGTTCAGGAGGTGGAGGAAATCGGGAGTGAAGCTGAGCCCAGAAAGAAGGGAGGTGTGTGTGGGAAGATGATTTCAAGGTTTGGTTTTATTTCTCATGATCCTGCTCTGATTTGATTGGTAATAAATTGTATTTTCTGAGAAGGGGAGTGCTGGGGTGGTTTGGTGGCACCCAGCCAGGCTTTACTGTCCTGTAATGGAACTGGAACTGTTGGTGAGATAAAGCACTGGTGTTCCTCTGAGGGGCAACTGGGCCTTTTTCTGATGAGTGTAACTTTCTCCTGCTATGGATGGACAGCCATCTAGTTTTAAAATACAATCCCCTTTGCACAGTTGCCATTTTCTTGACTCACCCCAGCAGCCTTTTTCCTCGTGACCTCTGCTGTGAGGTCCAAGGTGGTGCTGGGGTCAAGCAGCCCTTCCCTGAGCACACACACGGGTACCCACACACACATCAGCACATCAGCACCACCACGAGAGCTGGGAGAGCCTGGCCCTGCTGTACCTGCTGCACATTGGCCTGCAGGAGGTCCCCCAGGCGCTCCACGAGCTCTGTGAACGTCGGCCTCTCGGTGGGAACGCCGTGCCAGCAATCCAGCATTGTCTGGTACCTGGGGAAAGAGCCAGCGAGTCAGAAAGGGAAAGGCAAGCAGCTTTGCTTCCAGGCTGTTTCATTCCATTCCTGCTGGGTTGGGTCATCTTTGGGTGGTTATGGGTTAGGACAGGCTCAGATCTCCATGTGCTGCAATCCTGTTCTAGTTGCCCTGTTGGATGGTTGTTGCTTCCATCCTCCTGCCTCAGCTGAGCCTTGAGGCTTTTTGTTTTCACCCAGCTTACAATCTGGCCCTGTGATGCTGCTGAAATAAGTCCTGGTTATGGATGCTGGGTTTCTGTACCCAAGGCAGACACAGGGCTCTCCTGAACAGAGATCCAGGAACTACAGCTCACACAGGGATCTGTTCATCTTGCTGTTGGCAAAGGTCAGGCTGACTTGGGCTGTCCTTGGCATTAGTCTGTGCTACCAGGACACCCAAGGCATGAACAACCACAGCATTTACTGAAAAAACAAATACAAAATACACAGTTGGGGTCCCCTTCCCCCTCTCCACCTGAACACAATCTAGCTTCAATACTTAAATGACACGTGTCAGCTCACAGTACAAGAGCAGGAGCTCTTACACTTCTGGGGTGGAGTACTCTGGGGATCTCATCCGGGTCCCTTCCTTGAGCCGCCGGCAGAAATCCTCGTCTATCTGCACTCCAGGGTATGGGGAGGCACCTGGGGGAGAAATGAGAGGCTTCAGAGTGGCACAGTCCCTGTTTCCCAGCCCAGGGAATTAAACACGAATCAGTGACTCTGCTGAGCATCTGGGATTACCCAGAGTCTGGCAGCAAAAGAAGCTCCAGTAAAGAAGTTGCAGCCACCTCCTGTCTACCTGTTCTGTCTGGAAACCTGCTACAGAATCACTCTGCCTCTTCAGAGATTTCAATCACAGTGCATCCTCCACATTTGTGATACAGCCAGGACCACTCCAAGGTAAAATAGGGCAGAAGACAACTACATTTTATTAGTTTGAGACTTTAAATGACCTCTTGATCAGTGGTAGAAAAGTTCCAGCTCATTCAGTTGGTTACATTGAACAGACTCTTAGCCTGCCAATCTCCTGCACAAAGTGAGCACACATGGAGTGTGTCAGTCCTGCTCATCCTGCCTTGCCTTGGATCTCTGGCCTGGCTGGTGCAGAGGGAGCTGTGGGCACCTGGCTGCTGCTGCAGAAGACCCTGAGAACTGCAGTTCAACCTCAGGTGTGGAACTGTGCTGAGTATTGTGTGTGTATTATCCAGTCCTACAGGCAAAACTTCCTTGAACATGACCTTGCAGCTTTTCAGGCTTCTTTTCTCTCCTGAGTGTGTGTTCAGAGTGTCTTCAGGGCCACTGCAATGTCAGTGTGAGTGTTACTGCCCCTGGGAGGGCAGCTCATGGCAGCTGTTATTGTTCTGAGAGGCAGAGCGCTCTGAAGGGACCAGTAGCACTGTATTACTGCACCAAAGTTGGCCAAAAGTCATCAACATGAATCAAGAAGTCATCATTTGCCTGTGCAGATGGTTCTCTACGGAGAAGGCACTGGTGTAAATGCATCACATGTGCTCCTCAACTAATGAGCTCTTCAGAGGTTGTGCTCTTCGCTGTATGACATCTCCAGTGCTCCATAAATAAGGGGAACAAATACAGAGTTTGGGAAAGTGCTCTGGCATCTGAGTAATCCAGACCTCACAGGTAACATTCAGGAGAAGTCTGTGCTGAAGTTTGAAAGGTTACTGAGCCTGCTGTGGTTAGACTTGAACGATCTGTAAACTTCCCTCCCTCCCTCCCTCCCTCCTCAGCAAAGGCTTCACATGCAGCACAACCCCCGTCTTGCACATTCTGCCATCCAAAAGGCTGGATGATGAATTTGGAAACAATGTAGTCAAGTCTCAGCATAGGGGATTGAATGGAATCTGGATCTGTATCCAGCCCTCCAGGAATCTGCGCATGATCTACTGTCGATAACATTCCTGCATATTTCCTGCAATTTCCCCCCTCCATTTGGAGACACCATCGTGTGCTGTGCACTTGGGGGCACAACAAGCACAGTAGAAATCTTCTGGATAAAAGCAGCCAAGAGGGTGCCAAAACGTGGCTGCTTCCAGAATTATTCTGCTCCATGGATCTGCCTGCTCAGTCTGCAGAGCTGGGGAGCTGAGATCCTGGCAGCTTCCCAAGAGGGCCCCTCAGCACAGCAAACAGGCTCCAGTGACATCCAAGGCTCAGGGATGCTCAGCCACAGCACATCTGAATTCTCTGGATGTGCAAGGACCAGCTCAAGGTACCGAGAGTGTTTCCAGGAGTTCTGTAAGTTGGAGATAGTCAGTAGCATCACTTCTGCCTTATATCTGGATTTTCCTTCCCAGATCTGCCTTTCACCTGTCAGAATAACCTGGTAATCCACTGTTCAGCCCACACGGCATCACCCATTAGCCAAAGGTCTCAAACCACCTCCCAAGATCCCTGTGAATAAACAGAGGGATGGACAGTGTGGTGTCACTTTCCCACAGTGCCCCAGGCACCAAACTGCTGCCTCTGCACCTCTCCTGACTCTCACTTGTCTTTCCACCCTGAGAAGGTACTGGGGCTTCCTGAACACCCCTGAGCTCAACAGGGTTCAACAGCCTCTCCTGAGCCTCCCTTGAGGCTCTACACTGTTGATGACCTGGGGCAACACCACAGACCCCTCCTTAGAGAAAGGAGCTTTTTTCACTGATTGCCAACCCCAATTATGTCACTGTTGTGCCATGGTGGCCGTGATTTCCATGGGGAGGAGCTGAATGGAGTCAGGCCTTGGTGAATGGCCACAGGACCATTCCCAGTGCAGAAGAAACCTCTCAGTTTGTTCTGGTTAGGCCTGGCTCAATAATTATCTCATTGATCAGAATTAATCCTCAAATGCATTGATTGGGATGGAGACCTTGAGGGCAACATGAGAGAATGGGGTGAGAAGGGATGGAGAATTCCACTGGGGCTCACCTTCTGAGTTCTTTCTGGTTACAGCACTGATCATATCAACTGCAACATGTTGGTGAGAGCAAACACAAGGAAGGCAAAGAAGAATAATAGTGACAGGACAAGGAGTAATGGGTACAAACTGTAAGAGGGGAGATTTTGGTGAGATATTAGGAAGAAATTCTTCCCTGTGAGGGTGCTGAAACACTGGAGCAGGTTGCCCAGGGAGGCTGTGGATGCCCCAGCCTTGGCAGTGTTCAAGGCCAGGTTGGATAAGGCCTTGAGCAAACGGGGCTAGTGGGAGGTGTGGAGGGTGGGGACTGGATGGTCTTTAAGGTCCATTCCAACCCCTTAGCATGCTGTGATTCTAAGAACAATTTTTGACTGCAGGATCTCTTGGTAGTTTATATTTTGACTGGTGCTGGCCTTCTACCAGCTGGAGGCAGCTCAGCTCATAAAAGCAAGGAACTCCCCTTTTTTCCACTTCCACTCACCATTGCACTTCATCTGGACTATGTGCTAAGCCTAATAACTTGGATTTGGGATGCTGAGACAGCTTGGGAGAAATGTAGGCTGAAACATGTGGTGTGAGGTCTACACATGATGTTTTCCTTAGGGAAAATCTCTTGCAAAATGCTCAAAGATGTGGCATGCATTGGATATGGGAGCCCTCTTTTGATCTTGATCTTATTTTAGCAGGATAATAAGATGCTGATGTTATACGAGCAGGCACTGCTTGTTTACATAATTATCTCTGACTGCTTTCTGAACAGTGCACATTGAAATTCCAGGAGACACCGACATTCTGTACCATGAGTGATTTCAGGATGTATCAAACATTGCTGGCACCACCTGACACGAGGTGTGCTGACCCCTTTGGAATAATTTAAAGCTCATTGCAAACTCAGCCCCAGATGAAAATGAACAGTCTCTCTCCAGCCCTGATTTCCCTGTGTATCACCAAGATGGGTCCAGCCTTTCTGGAGGAAGCCTGTTGTCCTTCTCTTAGCTCTGCCCCTGGAAAGGACCCATGACCAAACTAAACTCTGCAGTTTCCTAATCAGTGTTTTCCCCTTTTTTAGAGGGTGCTAAGTCTGTGGGACCCAGTAAAAGCAGCAGCTGTAAATGGGAGCCAAAACATACCCCATAGCAATGACAAATAACTTCCATCCCTTGGCTCTCAATGATCTGTAAAACTTTTATAGAAGAGAATTCAATCAGCGACACAAATCCTTAATTAAATATTTATCGTTGGAGCTGCAGATGTGAGCAGTGCCAAACCACAGGCATGCCTGGGTGATCTGTATGAAAAACCCTCTCAGAGAAAATGACTGCTTTTGAACCTGTGCCACTGAGAGAAAAAGGAGTTTGTGATCTACGTCATCCCCGGGCAGAGGCTGTGCACGGATGGCAGCCCTCGCAGGAGGTTGGTAGGTTCCCCTGAATTCAGAAGAGGACAGTCTATTGTGCCAGGAAAGCACCTTCATTATGAAAAGAGTCTATCTAAAATTAAAATAAACCAGATAAATTGGTTTTTAAAACTAGATAAAAATAGAGGTGAGTTTGAGTAACCCTGTTTTTTGGTTTATACTAGTCAGGCCGAATGACCTGAAAGTCACATCTGTTGAAGTCTGTCAGGACCTTTGGGAATGATACAAAGCCTGTTTCTGCAGTGCCCCTTGCCATTCATCAGTATTCAGTTCTTCTGGTTCCCTGGAGGTGCCCAATGCCTGTTCCCTCTGAGTCTGTCTCTGCTGGTGCATCTTCCTGAATAATCTGTCAAAAACAGGGCACTGCTGGTGCTTCTGGAGCTTTGCCTTTCTGTGGTGTTTCAAAGCACCTGCAGCAGGTGATGCTGTTACTGAGCCATGGAGGTGTTACACCAAAAGAACATCCCTAAATAAACAGGACTGAGCCCTGGAGAAAGCAGGAACTGCCACGTGCTTTAACCATCTGAATGTGAATTTTCTGCTTTGTGTGCTACATGAACTAGAGGAGAGTCCAAATGAAAGACTTGGACCAAGAACAAGTTGTGATTTTGCAGCCAGCCCTGAGGAAAGATTAGGACAGAAACAGCTCCAGACTTTGCATCTTGACTTGGCATCTTGAGCCTGATCATTAATTTCAACTGATCCATCAACTAAAGATAGAAGGAGATTACAGAGTTTGCTTTAAAATCCAGCAGCTTAAGCTGACAATGCTTCTCGTTTTCTTTTGTCTGCAAGTGCTGATTAAAAAGCCAGAGCTGACATTCCTAAATTCCCTCAGGAAAACAAAACTTGCCACTCTGGAGGGCGAATCTGAGAGCGGCAAAGTCCAACTGTCTGGGAGGCTGCTTGTCTCAGTTTCACAGCTTTATGTGCTGGACAGTAACCAGATCTCAGCGAGGCTGAGATCTCCAACAGCACCCAGGGATGAAAGCTGTAGCACATAAAGAACTCCATCCCTGTCCTTTCAGCAATGTTGTGGCTTGCAAACGACGTGGGCACAAGAGCATGTGCTTCTTCCTGTCCACTGCCAAAAGGACTGAGGCAGAGCCCGGCACTGGCTCTCGGATCAGCCTCATGGCAGCTGCTGCCAAGAGGTTTTGCTTTCTTAGAAAATCTTAGATTTTGTGGGGAAAATAGTTTAGCTGGGACAAAATATCATGTGGGCAATTTCCCTCGTGTTCCATGGGCTGCCACGAGCAGCATCAGCCCCCTGTGCCCTCAGCAGGGGGACCCTCCAGCCTTGGGGCTGTGGGGGTTCCTAAAGCAGACTTCTTCAGGAAAAGATGGTTGGATGGGAAACTTCTTCATTGCTGTCAAAAAACCATCTCACTCCCCAGCAGCAAGGACTTGTGTTTTACCTCTGGGTTCCGTTGCTTTCAGTGGTTACAAATGTTAGGTCCAGGATTTAGGATTTTTGCTCCCCCCTCCCCAGTGTTCACTGTTTTCAGGTGGAGTTCTCACTGACCTCAGCCCAGTGGCTTTATTTCACACCTGCCCTGCACTGTGCACTTGTCCCAGCTGAAGCAGAAAGGCTGCCCCACATCAGCACCTTTTGTTAAAAGCTTTCCTTAGCAGAGGAGCCATAAATTAGGGGAAAACCATTCTTACCTAGAGAAAATATTTCCCAGAGCAGCACTCCAAAGGACCACACGTCACTCTGTGTCGTGTAAATCTTGTCAAAAATAGCCTCTGGAGCCATCCATTTGAGTGGGAGCCGGGCCTGGACACCAAAGACACAGCAGGTTGCTGTTACTGATCCACCCAAACCCATGGGGAACAACAACTTGAGGATAATAACTCCAGCTCCTTCCACTTACATCTCCCTTCCGGACATAGTCGGGGTCTTTATAAATGTCCCTGGCCAGGCCGAAGTCGCAGATTTTGACCACGTTGTTCTCGGAGAGCAGGATGTTCCTTGCTGCCAAATCCCGGTGGATGCACTGGAAGGAACCAGGACACGCAGGATCAGAGGGGCTCCCTGCCAGAGCTGAGGGCAGCAGAGCTTCTCTGGGAACGGGGAGGTAAAGGACCTGCTGTCGTGAGCAGGGCAGAGAAGGGATTCTGTGAGGGAACCGGCCCCAAACATTCTGTCCTACACAAAGCAGAGAATAACTCGGGGAACAAGCCAATACTGCAGGTAATTTTCTGACTTTCACAGTTATGACAAGACAAAGGGAGTCCTAATTTCTAACTAACTGGGAACACTGGGAGAGGTCAAAAGGCAGCTGCAGCTACATTTGCAAATGCAGGCCCAGAGTGTGTGAGATGGGCTGACTCTGCTCGGGATTCCTGTGCTCCCCTGGAGCTGTGTCAGTGCAAGCCCTCAGCTGTGTGCACACTTTGGCACATGTATTACATTCCATTTACTGAAAAGGTGTTCCACAGGCTGCAAACATCCTTCCTGTTGTGTCCAAAAGAGGTGCTAACTCTGCTGACACTCTCCAACACTGCTGACAAGCCAAAGGAATAGCTGGACACTCCCCTTCATTTTTCAGTAGTGCTGTTGTTGATCACATTAGAAGGACCTTTCTCTACGAGAAGCCTTTTCTGCATTTATTTATGAGGCTGTTCCAAGAATTGTCTCACAATCTGTATTCACCCCTTATATCTAAACTCTCCCGTTACAGATGCCAGTCCCTGCAGCCAAGAACATGATGGATATCCCTTCCAACCCCTTCAGTGCTACTTATTGCTTAACCACCAGAGCCAAAGTGATCTCCAAGGCTTTAACAGAAGAGCAAAAAGCAGATTACTCAGGCTCAAGAGAGTGCTTGGATTTCTCCACATCAGACACTCAGGGTTCTGGGATAGAAGTCTGAATGAGCTCACTTTTCGGGAGGCGAGGAACTCCATGCCTTTGGCCACTTGGAAGCTGTAGCAAATCAGATCCTCCAAAGTCAGGGGCCTCTTGTACAGATCCTCAGCATCTAGGAGAGATCACAGACAGGGCAAAACACTCCAAACAGCTCCAAACCTCGGTGGCACTGGTGCCACTGGCACTCTGGTGACCCCAGCCCTGCTGGGGTCGTTAGGTGAGATCTCTGCTGGAGTTGCAGCTCTGGGGTAGGAACCACTGACCCAGAGGCAGAAGATCAGATGATTTATCAAGTTCTAATGCACATTAATCATGCCATTTAGCTATGGGAAAAACAACATCTGCGGATAGGAGTGAGGAAAACTTTATAGAGAGTGAGTGAAGAGAATGGGAATAGCGGTAAAACATTGCTATTGCTCCTCTCACACAACAGGAGCAGCTTTTCTATGCAATTCATCACCACTAAACTCTTTTGGTGAGAAAGTTGGAGTGGGAAACAGGCAAGAGGAAGAATTTGCAACTTCAGGAACAAACCAAGCTGTGTCAGGGCTTGTAAAGTGTGTGACAGTGTGTGTGGCACTGGCCAAGTAACAGAAATCTTTACAAGAAAAGATTTGGGATTAGGTGGGTTTCTTTTACCTTCTTCATCATCTTCTGAGTCGCTGTAACTCTTATCTTCAATAAATCCTGAGCTGGCAGAGCTGCCTGTGCTGGCTACGCTCTCAAGGCGCCTCTTGATCAGTTCAGTCAGGTCACTGTTGGACTCATCCAGACTTTTCTCTGCTTGGTCAGAGTTTTCCTGGGACTACACATAGCATAAAACTCATTTTTAGCTTTGGTTGATGCAATGCCTGAGGATTCAAACTGTGTCACAGAATGGCATATGGAGAATGTCCTCCAAAGACGAGCTCCAAACATGTTTGAACATGATGTTCCCTGAAGAGCAGAGCTAATGAAGCCTGGTTTCCTACTGATCAACACACAACCTCCCATTCCACTGACTGCAGTGTTGGCCCAGAAAAGGGAGCTGGGAACTGGCTGGGGCAGACTGAGAGGTGAGCAGAGAGATACTGTAGGTCTGTGCCTCTTGCTTTCTTGGGAAGACATCACAGATCAGTTCAAGGTACGTGCATGATGTGCACTGTGTGTCTGCCTCACCCTCTCCTGGGGGGGCAGACAGAACCAGCCCCTCAATTCATCAAGGAAACAATGGTGAGAAAGAAATTCTGAGTGACTGTACCAGGAAAATCTCCTTCACTCACACAAAGTACCTCACGTACTTCTGTGTCTTTACACAATGGCTACAATCATCATCATCATAATAATAATGGATTCATCCGGGAAAATAATCTTGGGAGGCTCCAGTTTCAGGCAGGGCTGGGATCAGAGAGCCCTTTCCAGGCTGTATGTTCACAAGGAGGAGGCAGTGCCATCCCCTCCCCAGCACTGATCCCTGGTCCCCTATCCCAGCCCAGATGTTTGTGTGGCTGCAGAGAACTGCTGGAAACCAAACCACGTGGTTCATTTTAGTGCAGACATGTCCTTGATCCAGGTCCCTGCACCCAGCACAGACTGGGCTGGCACAGGGGATGGGACAAACAGAGAATGGGGGAAGGAGAAGCTGCTTTTAGTGTGTGTGTGGGTGGGCCTAGAAACAAAAATCCCCAACCCAGGCTTGTGTTTTGGGAGGGTTCACCTTCTCCTAGTTCAGTTGAGGCCAGTTTTTCACTATTCCCTGAGCTGGGGTAATTCCCTCTGTCCCTCTGAAGTGCACTACAGTGCTTATGTATTTGCAACTAAATCAGAGGAGGATGGGAGTGAGACCCTGCAGGGAAAACATTTCCTTTTTTTGCTCATTCAAATTGAAATGTGGTGAGAAAATAAAGTACCCATAGAAATGCCCAGCAGTGCCAATGCAGAAAAACCCAGCCTGTCTCCATGGCTGCTGATTCCCTGCCTTGGGACTATGAGCAGTGAATCATTTTCTTACCTTGCATGCAATGAAATCTCCCCGTTTTCCTCTCAAATAGTTGGACAGATTTCCATATTTGCAATATTCCACTATGACCATTAAAGGACCTGATAAAGACAGTGAGAGTCAAATGAGTTTTGAAGCACTGCAAAGCACATAATTCTAACTTATCCTCCCAAATCCTCTTCAAAATAAGTAAATACTGGCATTTCTATGACACAGAGGAGAGAAGTGACATTCCAGAAGGACACAATCAGTAGGGACGGGGAGAGAAGGGAACACAGTGCTGATTCTTAGTTTTAGATGTTGGCATTTATTCCTTATTTATCAAATAGGAAAATTCAGGATGATCAACAGAATGTCCAGTCTCAGATGCTGTGAAGGTTGGTTTACTCTGTCCATAGCATGGAGCAGTTTTCTTTTTCTCCGCTGGCTTCCCAATTGTTTGTTTTGGGTGGAGCTGATGCCATCAGAGGAAATAAAAGTATGCAGGGCCATAGACAGATCTGAACCAAAAGTTGTAAAAATACTTCCTAAAATCCTAAATTTGTAAAAATACTTAGTGTGAAGTTTTTGGAAGCCTTTAAAGTCCTCTCAGTTTTTTCTTTTCTTATTTCTGTGCAACCTACTGTAGATTCAGAGCAATTGCTGCTTTTGTACAATTATGCATGTTTTTAAGGCCTGCTTGAAGTGCTTTTATGTTGCAGTGTGAGCTATTAGGGGAGAGAAAGGCTACATTCTCTACCTTTGGCATAATCACTGCTTTTTGTAATCACCAATTGCAAGGTAAGGTGAAACCACAGGACTAGGATGTGCATAGACAGGGATTATTATCCACCCCAAGCTCTCAAACTCTCATGTCCAGAAACTTTTTTCTGTGGAGAAGGTCTGTAGGTCAGACTTGGGAGTTTGAACTTGACTGGGGAGGATGAGAGGGGACAGAGGGAGCAGTGCCCCTGGGAGAGTCTGGCTCCCTGAGACAGGGAGAGCACCTTTAGGAAGCAGATGGTCCCATCCACAGGGAGATGGTGAATTCCTGCAATAAGAACCAGCAGTTTGCCCACGACACTGTATTCCTGCCAGGCTCTGTGCCTGTACAGCCCCGTGGCTCTGCTGGGCTGGCACACACCTTGGGGCTGCCCAGGAGTTCCTACTGAGTAGCTGGAACATGTTCAGCCCTAAGAAAAACCACAGCTGGCCCCAAATCCAAGCCCAGCTCTGCAAGGCTCCAGTGCAGGGATCTGGCCCTGCTCAGTTCTGCAGGACCCGAACTCAAATGTCCCTCGTGGATGCCCTGAGGAAATGCAGATTCCAATAAGAGCTTTGAAGCTCCACTCCGTGATTTATTCAAGTTTTTGCAATGCTTCCTAGACGTGGCCTCTCCGTATTTTGTTTCCTCCTTGTGAAGCATGTACTGTGCATTAGTTGTAACTGCTCAACATCAGACACCCCACCAAAGTGTTAAAAATCTGTTATTTGTTAGGTTGTTAAAATAATATATGTGCATACTTAATATCAGCGTTCCCCAGAATACTGTTCCATGGTTACATAAACCCTGACAGGGAAGGAGAGAGCCGTGTTCTGCAATGGCATTGTGATGGTAACTCCTCTCCCTGTCTGTCTCCAGAGCTCAGGGCTGTTTTCCTTTGTTCTGCACTTGCCTTGCTCAGAGAAGAACAAAGCAGTGCCTGCTGGAGGCTCTTCCGTGCCCTCTGCTCCAAGCACTGCTCTCCAAAGGCAGCAGAGGTGTTCCCTGGCATCTGGCAGGGAGGGATGAGGGTCACCTCCCACCCGGAGGGCAGCTGGGATGGAGCAGGCTGGAAAACGGGAGGCAGAGGCCCCCTGGGGGAAGGCGTTTCCCAGAGTCTTTGGTCAGTCCCTGAGCCGTGTCTGGCTGAGCAAGGAGAGCTCTGGGGCTGAGTCGGTGCTTTGGTGATGAATTTCTGACCCCTTGGTCCTGCAGCCACATTTGAGGCACCTGTTTGTGTCGAGCCACCTCACTGGCTTGTCAGGGGAGGAGAATCAGCACCCCCAGTGTTCCCTCCCCTCTGCTCACAGTCCCAAGCAAAGGCCCCTGCCTCTTGCATCTCAACACAGAATACTCTGAGTTGGAAGGGACCCACACGGATCATCGAGTCCAGCTCTTAAGTGAATGGTCCATCTGGAAATCAAACCTGCAACCTCGGTGTTTTTAGCACCATGCTCTGTCCAAGGCAGCTGAACCCTAAATCCCTCCAGCTGGAGCTGCCCATCCTCCCCTACAAGCTTTTGGGGTGTGCAGTGCTACAACAATTTCTGTGAGTTCCCTGTCCCTGGCTCGCAGATTCCAGCAGTGTCTGTGGCTGCTGGTTGCTCAGTGCTCCCTGAGGAACTGGGAACACCTTGCTGGAGGGAGGATTTCTGCCCTGGCATCCAACCAGATCTACCTCACTGAGGTTTCCTTTGTCCGCTGTGACTGGGCATGTTCTCTGGGAGTCTGATAGCTTGGCAATCTCAGATGGCCACAATGTGTGCACCATCTCTCTCGCTGTTTCCCCTTAATTTAGTTTTTCTTGCTCTTGGGTCACCTCAATCTGTCCTTTGGGGGTGGTTGGGAAGGTTCATGGTCAGCAGTGAAAGCTGAAGCACGGTGAGAGACAAGGATGGTGATGGGGAAAGGGATGTTGTAGCGACAAAGGGCTGAGATTTACGGAGCCCTTTAAGTGCACTTTGCCACAGAGCCTTTGAGTGCTGTGGGGCCAGTCCTGCCAGCTCAGCCCTGGGGACGTCCATGCTGTTGTTGTGTCCAGCTCAGACCTGCCCCAGTTTTCTGCACACCAAGCAAAACCTGCCCCTGTTTGCCCAGAGAGGGTGAAGTGTTTGGGAAGGGAGGAGACCTCAGGGAGCCAAGTGCTCAGCCTGGTGCATCCTCCTGATAAGGCAGGGGAGGAGAGGGAGGAGAACCTTTGAAATGAGCAGTAGTGCCTGTTGGAGCCATTGGGCACCTAACTGCAATTCAGTGCCTGCCCCCCTTCAGGCCATAATCCCTTTTGTAAACAGTTTTCCAGGAACAATGGAGAAGTGACACCACGGGCTGGGGGATGCTCAGAACCCTTGATGTGATGAGGCCACATTCTGCAGCAGCAGGAGCTCCCCTGTGAGCAGAGAGCTGGAAATGTTTGTGCTTGCATTAACTGCAGGTGGTGAGACCTGGACTCCACCACTGGCACATCCCAACACCTGTGGATCTGAAAAGTGTTCCTTTGCTCCTGATTTACTGGGGACTTCTCACCTCCAGCTTTGGTGCAGGCTCCCAGCAGGTTGACTACATTCAGGTGATGTCCTATATGGATGAGGATCTTCAGTTCAGACATTAAAGCCTTGCATTCATTAGTAGTTGCACATTCTGCTTAGGATAAACAGGAAAAAAATCATCTTTACACAACAGGATATTTTGAACAGGACACAGCAAGATCCTGTTTATACTTTGAAACAAAACCCACCCAGGTTACTTGCAGTATCTTTGCTTTTCAGACTCTCAAACAGATAATAATTCATCCGTTTCATTGTCTGCTGACCTTTATGAAGTGGGATAACACTTTATCTTTTGGGTGCCTCTTCCTTTCTCGAGCTTGGGTTATGGAGGGTTACTGTCCCTTCCCCCAGACCAGATCTCTTTGCAAGGACTCAATTTTGCAAGCTTAGCAAAGGACCAGCCAAGCCCTCCAGGCCCCCACAGCCCATGGAAGTGTTCCTGCATTTCTCCTGGGGCTGTGCAGCTCACGAGGGCTTTGGTACCTCACCTCAGTACTGAGCAGCTCTCCATTGCAGGGGATGGAGGAATCCACACTGGGTCCCAAAATGTACAGCCCTGTAAGAGCGTATCAACCCAAAAAATAACCTTCCAGCAAAGCTGAGGGGGCATCTCTGTGCATGACCCAGGAGCTCGATGCTCAGTGGAGCCCACGGCCCGTTACACTCTCATTTAGGGCACGACAAGGTTGTTCAGGTGCCTTGTTTTCCCTGCCCTCTCTCCAAAACCTCCATGGGGTATTTTAACAGAAGGGGCCGTGTGCTCTTTCCTCTGGTTTTGCCTTTGCATCATGTAGGATTCAAACAGGAGGAAACAGTTACGTAACAGATAATTTGGTGTGACAAGTGTAACCTCTTTATCTGTTTGCAGAATCCTCCACAAACAACCCTTTCCCCAAATTGTGTCATAAAGAAGGAGTTCTTCCAAGCCCAAGATTTCTAGTTAGCAGTGTTTGTAGCTGGGTGTGTACATGGGTGATATCACCCCTGGCAGGAGCTGGAACCCACACCTGGCAAAATCTAAACAGCTTCACAAGTGTCTCAGATAATCTTGCCCATTGAATTTTAGCCTTCAGTCCAGAACAGATACCAGCCCACTGCATGGAAATGACAAACAGTGCTGGAATTGCAGAAATGCAGACAACTCCAGAGCCTTTTTTTCCCCCTGAATGGATTGACTGACACTGGAGAATCTGCTTTATTCATGAAAGTGATGAATTACGGGCACGTTAGTCGGGGAGGGACAGATGAGAGCAGGAGGCAGCTGCCTCCACTGGGGGGGGAGGTGTAAAACGATGGGGGATCTGGCAAATGGTTTGCTGAATATGTGCTGGCAGGGTAGAGCTGGCATGAGGATCAGTTGGGAAGCACAGCATGGAAGGGAATGAAAACCTGAAAACCCAGGGCTGTCCGGGGCAGTAAGTTTTGGATGGAGATGGGAATGTGTCTGGATCAGGGGCTTCTAGGATATTTCAGGGATTTCGAGATGGACATGGGATAGAAGAAACAACATCAGGAGAGATGATCTGAAGGTCTGCTGGCTAAAGTAGAGAAGGGAGACCAGATTCCAGGGAGTTCCAGACAGGTGATAAACGGATGCTTGTGCAGTTTCAGAGAGATGGGAAGCAGCAGAGCATCAGGAGAGGCAGCTGGACACAGAAGCCAAATCCTGTGGCAGCAGTGGCATTGCAGGGGTTAGTAGTGTCATGCAGCAGTGATGGAGCAGTGTGGGCCATGAGCAGCCACCCAGTGAGCATGGACTGGACCTTTGGAAACACCCTCAGTGAGCAGTTAAAGACCCTGACCCAGGCAGGCCATGTTGCATTTATTCCCATGCTGTCTGCAGAGATTTGTGTGTAAATACAGCATGGAAGAACAGGCCCCAGGTTCCCCTTTCCCACCACCAAAGGGTAAAAGCTTTCCTTAATTTCAGTAATTGCAAGCAAGATGTCTCTAATTCACTCCCTCGGCATCGCTTTTCTTCCAACCCCTTGAACTGTTCTGCATCTGGAAGGGCTGCGATGGAAGGCTCAGATCCAATTTCAGCCCATCTAATGTAATTACACTCAGTAATCTGCTTCCCTCCTAACCCCCCAGACCTGGAAGCTGCTGTTTCCCTCCTCCAGGAATACAAGCCTTAATCAGCAGCGCAGCACGGAGCCCGCTTGTCATTTCTTCCACGTCCCAGCGCTGCAGGATGACTAATTGCTCCCACATGGAAACCCACTCCCTCCTGAACACAATGAGCTGGGGAGCTGAGAACTGGAAACCTCATTGCCCACAGGTCCCCCGAGGAGTCTGGGGAGGGTCTCGGAGGGATAGATGTACCTTTGAGCATTTTTACGGCAACTGTTTTGCAGGTTGAAGATTTATCAATGCCAAAAGCAGACGCCTCCACCACCTTCCCAAAAGCACCATGACCCAGTGTTTTACCTAGAGGAGCAAGAGTCGAGAGTGAGCCCAGGGGAGCGGCAGTCGGGACCAGGAGGGAGGGGAACATGCAACCTGAGCTGTGCAAGAGATCCCAGGCACAACACACAGCCCGGCAGGCACAGAAGCTGGATCACATATTGCAGCATATGGATATACAGGGGGGGATTTATATCCATATGGCTTCGATGTGATACAGGGCGGGATAGAACAGAGGAGAATAAATCAATCTGCACTCAGCTGAAGGCAAGGCTGATACACACACATGGCTGGAGGGTAAAAACATTACCTAGGGCTGTCCTGAAGCCCAAGATAGTCAGAGCTGGGGTGGATTGGGGAACCTTGATCTCTCATGAATCATGGAGAGAGCCAGCTGAGGCACTCAGGCAGTCACAGCCCTTTAACCCTTCAATTATTGACACTGATTTGAGGGAAAAGCTTTACTAAATGGGATTTAAGATTATATTGTATGCTCTCTTCCGTTTGGATTGTCATGCCTGTGTTACCTGGTGTGCTCTGAGGGCTCTGAGCCCCAGTGCAGCAGAGTGCACTGGGCATCACAGGTAGTCTCACTCTATGTCCCACCATCATCTCAGCTTTTGTGATTTTTGTCTATCTCCCTCTTCCACGTTTACCAGCTGAAGCCCCAAGAGCACACACAAATAGAGATATATTCCCCACACTCCTCAGAGCACACAGATGTTACTGTTTTGCTACACAAACACAACCTGCTTTTTACATTTCCCTGCTCCATCAGCCAGTGAGCTGAGCTGGTAAATGAAATTTGGTTCGTTTTTGCATGCTAGCTCTTTACAACTCAAAGCCAAGTTCAGATGGTCGATAAGGAATTGACTATTTGATAAATTGATAGGTTTCTTCAAAATAAAATTCTCTGAAAGACTGTGACCTTTCACATTGACTTCTCTTCCCCTTTTCCTCCATGGGAATGAAACCATACTTTTGGCAGGGACAGTACCTGGAGGTACCTTTCTTCTCTGTCAATAGTTTGGCTACACTTTTCCAAGGCAGAAAGAGAGGTGGCAGCTATTTTGGCATAACCAACACCTTTCCTTTCCTTACCAAATCCCTTTGCTCCACCCTCCATTAAGGACGATCCTGAGCTCTGCGGCCCTTGATCCAAGGATGTGGCACCTTGGCACTAAAGGACAGGCTGCTCCTGGGTTATACAACAGATCCACCGGAACTAAGGAGGGTTAGGAATCCTCCTTCTCCAAGGAAACCCCCAAAGCACTCACCCAGCCTCAGCCTGTCCCTTGGGAACTCCCATTTGCTGCTGTCGTAGGGCAGGCGGTCGCACTGCTCATCCAGAGGCATCTCCTCAGGATCCATGATGATGGACAGGTATCCTGTCTTAATATCCGTGGCATCGGGCTACAAACAGGGGGGGCAGGAATTATTCACTGTGTTTACCCTGCAGCTCTGATGGGAGAGAGCTGTGGAGGCTGAGTGATGTCTGGGGAATTCCCTGCACTCCAGACTTAGCTCTCCAATTTATTCTGAACCATCACTCCAGCTTCCTGCCTCTCCTTATTTTCCATAAATGTTTATGTGTGCCTGCCACTCACGGCTGTTGGGAAGAGTCACTGATTGATGCTGGTAAACACTCTGAGGACACAAAATCTATTGCTGCCTTCTACCTGTCTCAGGGAAAGGAAATCAGTGCTTTTCCATGGGAACTCCAGGAGTTGCTCTTCCTGGTGCACTAGAGAGCATTTTGCCATTTTCATAGTTTATACCTTTTGGTTTTGCAGTGTTGATTCTCCATAGTTATCCACTTTGTGGGTATTTCTATTACAATTTAAAATGCATGGAAAGCTGGTGGAATCTGCTACTTCAGATGCTGCAAAGAGAGAAATTGTGCTTGGGTGGCTCCTGTGAGGGGACAGGCATGGGGGTAAAATATATCAGGAAATTCAGCATTGTCCACAACTTGGTTAAACTGAGGTCAAGGAGCAGAACGTGAATTTAATAACTGTATATGCAATAGGAGGGGAAATTTTACTCAAATGTTGGAGATCAGCACTGGGACTGTATTTTGGTGAGATTCAGAGCAGAGAGCTCTGCTTGCCTCACTGTTTGCTGTTTGTTTTAGGAAAAACAGACCTAAATTCTTTGGAACTTAACTGCAAGTTTACTTTCTTGAGTCACAGCAGGGAGGTGAAAGAAGAGCAAGACTTGCAGACCAAATAAGCAGTGTGGTTTAAGCTCATTTCCAGGATCTTCTAAAACAAGGCCTCCTTTAATATCTGTGTTTCAGAGACAAGTGCTGAAATCAAGCCCTCATTTTGGAACATACAGGATTGGTTTTTGTTTCTTAATCTCACAAGCCAGTTTGACTCATGAAGAGGGAGGTGCCTGATTTTATGGTACCACAGGAGTGGGTAGAAACCTCACAAGTGCAAGGGATGTCTGGAGAAGTCAGTGGACTGTCAGCAGAAACCTTGGGCTGAATTTTATGGGGACATTTTGCCCAGTTTTTCTACCATCTGTCCCAAACATTCAGCCCTGAACTCTGATGTTACACATTAACTTGAACCTGATCCCAGACTTCGTGCAGTGTGGGAGCTCTTACTTTTCTCAGTTTCCTGATGAAGAGGGTGAGGAGGAGCCAGAAGAGAGTGGCAGCCAGCCCAGTGCACACCAAAATGATCACTTCGATGTTGGATTTCTCCTCAGAGCCTGCAGGTTAAATGTACAGCCACATTAGAAACCAAAAACAATTCTCCTCAGCCCCACACAACACCTGCACGTCCCTCAGGCTGGGCCTCACCTTGTATTTTGATGAAGGCTGATGTGCTGTCCTGGCCCAGCTCGTTGGACGCCCGGCACTCGTAGAGCCCCTCGTCGTCCTTCTTCACCCTCTCGATGACCAGGGTGTTATTTTCCATGGAAATTCCTGTTGTAAGGGATTTTGGTTAATAGTGGCACAGTAACCTACCTGCCTGCAAGTGCTTTTAGGAGCCAGAGAACTGAAAGACAGCTCCCCTCCATCCAGATCTGGCACATGCTGGTGTTTGGAGGCATTTTAACCCCATGCTCCTCATTCTGCTCTGGCAACAACCTCTCCCTGACATTTTTTTCTCCTCAACAACTGTATAAATTTGTTGGGGGTCATTTAACCAAAAGCAAATGTGGCTGTTAATTTAGAGTGGACAGAGCCTGAGCAAACTTCTCTGGAAGTTGGTGAAGGGATGGGAGGACAGGTTGTCTGGTAGCAGGAAGATACACTGGGGAAAAAGGGAACTCAGTGGAACGACTGGAGAAAGCTTAGAGGCTGTGGAAAGTGATGGACTTCTAACATGTGGAACATGGAAATCAGGTTATGTCCATCCCTGGAAAAATCACTGTGTGGAGCAATCCTGGACTCACAGGCAGACAGGGGCTAGAGTGGAGTGGGAAGAGAGAGGTTCCCTAGATATGACCTATGGGACTTTCCTACATTTAATTTTCCAAGTTTAATTTTTCCTGATTTGTGGTATTACACTGAGAGCTCCCCTGTTTCATTAAGGATATGACTGGGCCAGAAATAGGGAAACAGGTCAGACTTTGAATCCAAAAGGGAAGGATATTTTGAATTTCTGGGTGTTCTGCCTGTGAATCCTGTTGTTGTTAACAAGAGCACTGCACAGAACTTGCCATGCACCGTGCTGAAATATTTACCCTGAGGTGTTTTTTCCAAATATTTTATTTATGTTTTCATTGGTTGGATGAGTTACAAGCTTGTCCCTCCAGAATTATTTATAAAATTTCAGTAGCTATAAAGAGTTTCTCTCAGAACATTCTGATCTGAATTATGGATGATCCTAGATTTCCTACCTAGTCCAAGATGCAAAATTAAAGTCACAGGAACATCTACTGACATGGGATCCTCCATGATTTATGGGAGATCTCAGGACATGCTCTGCTCTGCACTGAGGTGGCCTCACCTCGAGTTCTGCAGGCAATTTGGGCACCACAGTATAAAAGGACAGGGAGCCATTAGAGAGGGCCCAAAGGAGGCCACGAGGATGGGGAAGGGTCTGGAGGGGGCTGTGTGAGGAGCAGCTGAGGGCACTTGCTTTGTTCAGCTGGAGGAGACTGAGGGAAGACCTCACTGGGGCCTTCAACATCCTCACGAGGGGCAGCAAAGGGGCAACTCCAGTTTGTGACCAGTGACAAGACCTGAGCATTGGTTAGAGCTGTGTCAGGGCAGGCTCAGGTTGGATCTCAGGGAAAGGTTCTTCCCCCAGAGGGTGGTTGGCACTGAACAGGCTCCCCAGGGCAGTGGGCACAGCCCCAAGGCTGCCAGAGCTCCAGGAGGGTTTGGACAATGCTCTGAGGGCCAGGGGGGGATTGCTGGGGTGTCTGTGCAGGGCCAGGGGTTGGACTGGATGATCCTGATGGGTCCTCTCCAACTCAGCCTATTCTGTGATTCTGGTGACAGAGCTGAGGAGCTCCAGGCTCAGGTGAAGGAGCCTGTGGTGGCACTGTACCTGTCCAGCTCTGGACCAGCTGAGCTGGGAGCACATCCCCCTTCCTGTGCCGTGGGAGATCAAGGATGGGGCACATGCACCTCACCCTCTGGGAGATGACTGCCCACACTCTGCTGCAGTACATCCTGCTCAGGATACCTGACAGCCCAGCCTGGTGCTGTCAGACCCACCTGGCAAGCAGGTGCACTGTGTCTCTGGTTTGTACACCAAATGCTGTCTCCCACAGGCTCCCAGCAGTGCTCCCTGATTTACCAGTGCTGTGCTAATGTGGCTGCCAGGCTCTGCATACTGGGTCATCCACGGGCAAGCCTTGGGCTGCAACCACTTTCCTTGACCTCCAAGGCCAACTTGGAGACGCAGCAGTGCTCTGATATCCTGGGATCTGTGTGTGTGTCCTGAGGCTGTGGGCACTGTCCTGGCTCAGCCCTGTGTTGTGGTGACGCTGCCATCCATTATCCCGTATCCCACACAGTTCCTCACCTGAAGCTGCTGAGATGGGGTATCCGTTCTTCCTCCACGTCACCTGTGGCTCTGGGGTCCCGCTCACCCTGCACTCCAGCAGGATCTTCCCGCTGATGTTGACCTCCAGGTCCGTGAGGTTCTGGATCACGAACGGCGCTGCCTTTGCTGCCACAAAGGGAAAGAGCCACAGTGAGCCCTGGGAAGGCGCCTCCCTCAGCTCTGCCATCCCCGCTCCCTGCACGGCCTCTCTGGGCTGGACAGGGCAGAGACTGGGCCAAAATCCCCCCAGAGATTGTGGGAGGAGTGGGTGAGTTTGTCTGGCTTATTTTCAAACTGACTGAGCTTAGATTCGGCTGCAGCTCCTCCTCGAGTTTCTCATCCTCCGAAGAAAACAAAGGACAGTGAGTGGGTGGTGCACATGCAGAGTGAACACAAAATGAGAGAGGAGGCAGCAAAGAGGAAACAGTTCTAAAGGTTTTATATCCTCCATCATGAGTGCAGTTACTTACCTACTACAAAGCATGTTAACCCCCACTTTATATTCATTTCTATCAGGTACAGGACAGCAATGAGTAAAATCACAAGCACAGCATAAAAAAATCGCCCAAACCAGCGCTAAGGACAAGTAGCTGATGGCTGTTGGAACATTGAAAAGAAACAGGGGAAGGAGTGCTGGTTTGGAGGGGCATTTCCATGCATGTTCTCCCCAAGAATTGCCTCTGCCACGTGCCAGACAAACAACAGACCCCCGGCACCCTCCGAGGAACGTGATCACAGTTCCAGCTCTCCATGGATGTATTCCCAGTTTGGCTGTGTTTTTCCCACAGCCATCCTGTGTAGGTGTCCCTGTAGGTGGAAACCTGCCTGACTGAATAAAAAGATGTGCCAGGGGAGAGGGAAGTGAAGTGCCTGAATGCAGAGTGCAGAGCAAGGCCAGAGCCCCAGGTGATGCTCACAGGTGGCTCCGGTGCCGGCTGTGGGGACCAACCACAGCACCAGCACTGAGACTCCTTCCCTTCCTCCCATCTCCAGAAGAGGTCTGCAAATACATCACCTCCCACTGTGCTATCAGAGCTGTGGCAGCCACAGCTGGGCTGGGGTGAGCATCCCCCTGTGTGCGCCCGACTGGGAGTTCAGTCCAGCAGGGATGGAGCCAGCACAGCACTGCCCTGCCCTGCTTTCCCTCGGTGACAGGTGCTCGTGGCACCACTGTCCCCTGTGTCCCACGAGCCACATGGAGAAGCCAGTCTGAAAATCCCTGGGGAGCACTCGGATCCTGCTCCCTGCCTTGCTGCTGGTTGTTTCACTTCCACTCCATTTCTGTGCTTTGGGCTTTTCTTCCCCACTGGAAGACAGTTAATAAATCCACCCATTCCAGCAGCCCCTTTTCTTCTGAGGAGGCCTAGAGGTGATCACCCACTTTCTTCCGTAGGAAGCAGAAGCAAATTCACTAATTTCGAGTGACTTTGTGCTGGAAGAAGTATCCCACTCTTTATATTCCCACAGCCAATGGACCCAGGCTGCAGGATCTGCAGTGTTACTGTTTTTAGGACAATAAAAGAGTTGGGGGCTTGGGTATAAATAAAAAAATACTGGTTCTACTATGAAGTGCGTTCTACTTACCCAGCCTAAATGGCACACGTCACTTGATCACACACTTGACCAGTGACATTTGGGATTACATTTGCTGGATCCAAACCTATTTAGGTATCTCTGGCAGCTGGGAGTGGGTGGAGTTTTCTACCAAAGCCACGTGGATCTGGAGTGACAGTCCCAAATTACAGAGTTGTGCTGTCTGTAACATGGTGGGTGATGTCTTTTGTCCTCAGTCAACCATACCTGCACCCAGCATGGAGTTAGGAAGATGAAGTGCTGCTAAAATCACCTTTATGTCTAAGGCAAATATTTTATCCAGACCCAGCAGTGCTTGGATGAGGAACGTGTAATGTGCATGGCAGGCTGTCAATCCCCATGCAGTAACAGGAAAAAATTAACCCAAACCAGGGCACAAATATAATATAAAGGCAATCCCAGTGCCACTCTCTGCTGGCACCTACCTCTGACCAGGAGCTGCGTGTGCTGCTCCAGCGTGTCCGTGCTGTTGTGCTGGTTCTGAGCTCGGCACCTGTAGAGACCACTCTGCTCCTTCGTGACGTTGGGAATGACCAGTGTCAGGGAGATGGAGTATTTGCCGGTTGTCCTGACCAGGGAGTCGCTGGGAGCTGCCCCTGAGGAGGGGAGGTACCAGGCCAGGTGGGTGTAGATGTACCTGGAGGCCCGGCAGGTCAGGCGGACGTCGCTGCCCACGATGGCTGTGACCTGGGGGGCTGCCTGTAACCCAGAGGGCACATCTGGGGGGAGCAGAAAACATGTTTGCAAGTAAGACACAGCTGAGGAGATCTCTGGCTGCCTAGTGGCTTCTGGGTGGTCAAATCTCCAAGGCCATAATGGAAGGAGCCAGGTTTAATGAGACCCACGTTTGCATGTGGGAGCAGGCACCAGGGTTGGGAATTAGGGGAGTGAAGGTCCCTCTCACAGCCCATTGCTGACCTGTGGCTGTCTAGCCCTCAGTATTCTAATCATTCCCCTTTCAAGTAATGAATTGAAAGCTTATAAATAAGAGTAGTTAATGGGCTGAGAGAGTTTAATCAAGAGAGGTTTCTATCCAGGTAGACAAATGTGTTCGTGAGCTCTTCCCTTTCTACCTGCAATCAGTGCTTGAAAATATAATTGCATAGGAATAAAGAAACCTGTTCCCATCTCTCAGGAGTAACACTTTCTTCACCACTGAACAATCTTCTCAATACTCTCTTACATCAACTATGCCAATATTTATTTTCATCACATGTTCCTGGGTGGTTATTTACTTGATCACTGGTTGATTAACTGATCTAATGATGTACAAGACTTGAGGCCCTTATATTTAGCAGGGAAATACTCTGAGGCATGACTCCAGTCTAGCCACAGAAGAGTAAGCTGGTTTTTGCTATATTTATAGTAACTTTTCTCTCAAAAAAAAAAAAAAAAAAAAAAAAAAAAAAAAATCCATTTTCCCGAAGTGGCAAACTGAAGCCATTTAAGACAAGCAAAACTGTTTGAGCAGAAGGTCAGAGCCTGGCCCACAGACACATTCCTGTTGCTGCACTCGCCACCAGAGACCTGCAATTAAACTGGGGCTGGAAGATACTCTATTCCCTTTTTATTCTGTTTGTTTCAGGGATCTATCCACCCAGCAGACCTGAGTGAGAGCGCATGGACAACCACAGGGACCTGGAATTATTCTGCTGTCCATTAGGTCAGGGTTTTCAAGCAGCTGAGAGTTGAGAGGAGCCCCTCTGAGATGCTCCCAGGTGTGGGACAGGGATGGGACACCTTGGGAGGACTCTGGGCCACCTTCTGAACAGGAACAGCGTTTGCAGTGAATCTGAGAGGCTCCTGCTTCAGCTGCAAGCTGTTGGTAAGGTGCCTTCTCAGGCCAGGATGGAATGGAGGATACTTTGGGAAGGACAGAAGTTAAAGAGGAGCAAGTGTGCACTGCACTTGCCGTGTGACAGATTCCACATGGGAGCTGGAATTCAGCCCTGTAAACCCCTGCACAAAGTTCTGCTGAAGCCACACATGAGCATAAATAGTGAGGCTGCTGAAATAACCAATCTACCTTAGAATAAACCATATATTATAAAAAATACAGAGCCCTGAAGGAGCTTGCAGATAAGATTAAAATTCCCTCTTCTTCACAAGTCATCTGGAATAGAACCCATGAGCTTTGCTTCATGGTTTTTAAAGACTGGTACCAAAAATATTTTACAAAAGATCCCAAAAGAGAAGCAACCCCTCGGGTACAGCAGTGGAAATTGTTATTTTTCTTTTCTTTCCCTGTCAGGAATTTTCAGTTTACCCTGTGCAGAGTGTTGTTGGGCTCAGCTGCTCTCTCTTGCTTGAGCCGTACACTCAGGCTGCCTTGTGTAGCACATCCATTCCTTAATTCTGATGCCCTTGTGCTTCCAGCATGTCAAGGTGATGCCTATCCACATGGGGCAAAGCCTGAGGGCAGCAGGACCTCTCTACACAGGAAGAATTGAGATCCAGTGAAAACAGTGGGGTGTGGCATCAGCAGCATCTCAGCACCTCTCCCTGGGGGTGGATCTTGGCCTGGTTCCAGATGGGTGAAGTTACTCTCCTCCAGTAGCTGTTCCAGTGCTGTGTTTTGGATTTGAAATGAGAAGGGTGCTGATAACACACGCTGATGGCTTGGCTTTTTCCTAACTCATGTTTATCACAAGTCAAGGACTTATTTTTCCTTGTCTCCTGCTCTGCCAGTGAGGAGGTTCCCAAAGGAAACTGGGAGGGAGCAGAGCAGGGATGGGTGACCCAAACTGGCCAAAGGGTATTCCACACCATAGAACATCATTCCCAGTCTGTAAACTGGAAGGGGCTGATCTGGGTTTGGGAAGAGGGGTCTGGCATTGCTCAGTGGGTGGTGAACAGTTGCATTGTGCATCAATTGTTTTTTTCCATTTTTATTAGTATCAGTATTATTATTTACCATTATTACCGTATTTTACTTTATTTTCAATAATTAAACTGTTCTTATCTCAACATACAAGTTTTACTTTGTTTCTTCTCCCTATTCCACCAGAGTGGGGGACAGAGAGGGTTTGAGCAAGCGGATTTGTGGTGCGTGTCCAGTTGAGCTAAAAACCACAGCACTTTTGAACCTGAAACCACAACACTCCTGAACCTGTTAAACCAAAACAGGGGACAAGAGCCCTCTTTCCTTCCCTTTTTCTCAGTTTCTCTTCTAAACAGTGTCTCTTTGTTCCAGCAAGAGTTAGAGAACTAAGGTGGGTGGCACTGGCTTGGGCCTGGCACTGCCAGCAGGGGCTGGAGCAGCCCCTGACACCGGTGCAAATTCCCAAGGGGTTGGATGTGCTCCTTTCCAAGCCCTGAGTTGTGAGGGATGCTCCAGAGCCTTGCTGCTGGACTTGAAAGTTGCAAGTTTTTTTCTACCAGCTTAACATTCTGGGAGCAGAGGCCTGGCTTGTTTTTCTTATCATTCCTTCTGCTGACATTTTTTATTTAGCATTTGGAATATTTTTAGCCGGAACCTGTGCTATTCTCTCCCATCTTGTTTGCCTTTCAAGCAGCTCTTTCGGCTCCAATAGAATATTCATTGATTTTCATTGCAGTGGAAGGAAAAAGAGAGGGGGGGAAAAAAAGTCTCTCTTGCTCTCCTCTCTCTTTTCTCCTCCTACCTGGGTTATCTGAGGAGTAGCTGCAGCTTTGAGAGCACGTCTGAAGTCAGTTCATCTCTTCGACTGCTTTGCTTACACAATCTTGGACCTGAGCAGTGATGAACTTCCTCTCCCTGAACAGATACAGTGTTTTATAGGACTCCCAATAAGCTGGCTAAAAGAATGCACCATGGGGCCTTTTCCCTTTTATCATCAGTCACCAAACATTTGTCTTTCATATTGTGTTACAGGGTTGTAGCCACCAAGTTCCCCCTCAACTGTGCGGGATTCCACCGGCAAAACAGGGACCCAGGCCATGGGGGGAGGGAAAAAGGCAGCACAAATCAAAGGGAAGTCTGGTTCCATTTGTATTTACAAGGAATTAATTGTTTTTAATTTCCTGTGCTTTGCACAATAATCTGGGTAATTCAAAACTTCTGCTCTTGCCCAAATTCCAGCCCTGTGCCTGTCAGGGTGGGGGGCTGGCACGTGGGTGTAGGGAGAGTGAGCCCCCCCAACCTGAACCAGTGTGGTGCTTGCCAGAGATCCTGTGAACACATCAGGAATAAGCAGTTGCCAGTGGCACAGAATCACAGCCCAGCTCCTACTTTGTTCTGCTATCTGAGAGCAGATTTTTATCTGCTGTTTGAAATGTAGTATTTTCTTTCTGGTGGAAATCTTTTAACTCCAGCTTTTCTGACTTGTTGTTGCAATCAGATGAGTGCCTGAAAAAGGGTTTTCTTATCATTTGTTATTCTTACCCTAATTCATTTATATTCTGAGAACATTCAGAGTTTTCAGATGGGTGGGATCCCGTTTTGCTGAATGTTGTACAAAGGCTAGAATTTGATTTACTGTGGACCTACAGCAATATAGAGCTGCCCTTTCCAAGGTGCAGAGCAGAGATTAGAAGGTAAATAATACTTGTCCATGGCAGAGAATCCCTCCAGGTCAGCTTTTCACTGCACTGGGAAGGCTTTAGTCTGCCTAGAGTGTCCTCTGGAGCGTAACTGGAGGTGGGCAACGACATGAGGTGGTTCTGAGCATCTGATGGCTCATTGCCAGTGGCAAACCAGTCACCTGGTAAATGGGAACACTGGAGGCAAACAGTGGTAGGCAAAGCAGGCAGGGGAGAGGTTTTGTTTCCACAGGGATTTACACAAAACAAAAATCCTGGACTAAGAGTTAACCCAGGGCATGCTGGATGACACCATAAGCATTGCCAGGGGAGGCATGAGCAGCTCTAGGAGGGGCAGTGACAGTCAGGACATCTGGGAGAGCTCAGGGAGGCTTTGGGGCCATCACTGAGTGAGGAGATTTCTCATCACGTTGGTCCCCTTATATGGTTTGGATGCAGAGTGATCTCCAAACCCTGTTGACCCTTCATGAAATGAACTCTACTGGCAAAGAAATGATTTAAAAATAGACACCAGGGCTATTTCTGGTGTCCGTGGGAGTTTTTGTGGGGGCTCTGCAGGGGAAGAACAAAATGGCTGCTGACATTATTCCATTGGGATAAAGAAATTTCTCTGAAATGAACTTAGTGATTAAAACATCAGACTGAAGTGAGGCAAGTCCCCAGAGAGCAGCCTGCACAACACCTGAGGATGTTTCCCTGGAACACTCTGTCATGTCCTGGGAAAACATCTCAACCCTGACCCACTGGAACAGAGTTTTGAGGGAGTTCAGCCTCTGTATCATCCTCAGATTTCTTACCAGGGAAGAAATCTGTCCAGCTCAATTCAGCCCAAATGTTTGAAAGCAGCTCAGGATGCACAAGCTTGTTCCTTGGCAGGAGATAATGGGAGATCAGGTCTTTAAAACCAACATGTTAATTGTGGGGTGCCACAACTTGCAGCTCGCTTTGCAGACAACTGGGAGGTGCTACAAACATTTGCAAACCTTGTCCTGAAGACCCATGTGCTGGTCATGCATGCCCAGGCTCCAATCTGCCCCAAATGAACCAGCCCAGCAATCCCAAAGGCTCCTGCTCAGAGCCTGCTCTGGGTCCTGCTCTGCTCGGAACCTCCCGAGCCGTCCCTGGACGTTCCCCTAACACTGAGGCTGGAGACAACCTCTGTACCCTCCCCCCAGTGCCCCCAGGAGAGGAGTCAGCTTTTCCCCCTGCTGAAGCAGCCCTGGAGCAGCTCTCCCAGCAGCCTGGCCACGCTGGAATGGTGCCCATGACTCAGCAGAGGACCCCCATGTGAACAAACCCAGCAGCAGGTCACTCTGCTGCTATTTTACTGCAGCAACACGACCTACTTTAGCATCAGGATGGCCACATTTAGAAAGTTTGCATTCCTTTCTAATCCACAAACACCACTATTTTTAAACACAGTACTTTCTAAAAGTCATGCTCGTTCAGCATCTGCCTCTTCCCCAGGATGGCACAGACTCACAGCCTTCCCTGCACAGGCAGCAAAATATCTGCCCTGCCAAGCCCCACTCACCTCCTGCTCTGCTTTGGTGGAAACGTTTCCACCACAAACACTGCCAGTAATTCTGCCCAGTGATTCATTTCCTTCGTAATTAAAATTGCATGATTAAAACATTTGTGCCTCAAAACATTGCTACACTGATCTTAAAATAAAAAAAAAATCTGAAATATTAGCTCACTGTGGGTGGGAAAAAAAAACCCCTGCATAACTTTATTACTAAAATAAAACACAGTTGTGAAAGGTGCATGGGGTGATCCAACTCTTTGGATCTGACCTTGTGCTCATTGCTTATTTAGCTGCTGCAGCTTTGGTCTTAGTCACCAGGACTAAAGACTTGGGAACACCTGGCTGTGGGTAACACACCCCAACATAACAGCTGGAATTCAGAGTAGAAACCAGCCCACAAGAGGACTCAACACTTGGAAGTAGTGAACTATAAAATTAATAGCTGGTCTTCAGCCTGCCTTGGACATCTTGAGGACTTCTTACATCTGAGCTGGATCTCCCCAAAGTGCACCTTGAAGGGCTTTTTCAAAGTCAGTAAGAGTTAGAACTTTGAAAAATACATGTTGGAGGGTGAAACTCTCTCCTGCTTCCTCTGGGGTAGCACAAGGAAGCTTTAATGTAGGTGAAATCTTTCCCCTGTAAGACACCACCTTCATTACTGTTGGATTCTCCCATTTGAACTTCTGTATAACAATGGTGTTGATGTTTAGAGAGCCCTTTTTTTAGTCAGAGTGACTTGAAATGTCATGAATTGCAGGGGGAGTCAAACAACACAGGAGGCAAGAGGGGCAGAGGAGAGCAGGGCCCTGCCCGTGGTGAGCTTTGCCCTCACAACTTGCTTCATGGAGAAGGAACCAAGCAGTGAGAACCAGCCATTTACTTTCCAGGACACTTCTGCACTCTTTGTTCTAAAAATTGTTATTTTGATGCAAATTCTACCAGCCAATATCCACTCATCCAGAAAGTGAGCACAGAAAAGTTTCAGTTTGTTCTGGGTAAGCACTTGAACAAGGCTGTCCCTGGACTCTCCTCTCTTTTTAAACTCCCCTCTCTCCTAAAAACATTATGTAGGTCTTGATCTCACTACCAAAGAATTCCTGTGTTGAAAGGTTAAGCAGATATTTGTTTGGATTTGTGTTCTTTGGAAAACCAGCGTGTCCACCTCCTCCCTGCAGGAAGGGCACTGGAGAGGCTGATTGCCCAGGCAGGGATCCAATGTCACAGCAATACCAGTCCTGCACCGGGGTGGACACTGGCCTTGCTCACCTTTGCTGTGTCTGCTGACTTAACTGGAGACTAACCAAGTCAGGGAGAGGCTCCAGGCCTTTGGAAGGCTCCAGAGGCTCAGCTTTGCTGGAGGTTTAGTGAGGACAGAGCTCAAATGTCACGAGTGTTGCTCTGAGACTCAGGGCTGCGGCTGCAGCTGGGAAGGGCAAAAGGGGCATCGGGGCTGATGCCGGACATGTCTGAGTTGTGCAGGACCCAGCCTTGAGCAGCCTGGGAGTGCTCCAAAAACACCACAGGCAGGGACTCCCAAGGGTTTTAAGGAGCACTGACCAGCCCTTTAAAACTTGGAGGTGAATGAGACCATCATCATGTGCTCTGTGTGTGTGTGTGCTGTTACCTGACACGTAGAACTCGACGCTCCTCTCCTCCTCGCCAACCTTGTTGGAAGCCACGCAGTAATAGATCCCTGAGGCACTGCTGTTCTCCATGGTGAGGGTGCTCACAATCTGCCAAGCAAGGAGGAGGCAAGAAAAGGCTGTGAATGTGGGGAAGGCCTGGCAGAGGAGTGTTACAGCACAGAAACTGCTAAGAAAGTTGTTTCTAGTATTGGGTGAAGGTCACGGACACACTTGCCTCTATTAGGTTTTTGATCTCTCATCATCTCACATCACCTCAGCCCAGCTAACTTGCTTCCCTCCTCAATCCTAAACTTCTTTTTTTTCCTGTCACACCCATGAAAAACAGGGTTCTCCTCTGAGACAAGGCCAAGGTTCTTGTGTGACAACATCAGCAAAAAGCTGAAGAGAAGGTCCTGGAGGATTCATCCAAATGCAGCCCCCCATCCTTTCTGCTCCTCAGTTATGGGTTACATGGGTGACAACATCCACATTTGCATGGGAAGCAGGTATTCATATGGATGTGGCACAAAGAATCTTGCAGGATTTTGCTTTGCTTCACTGTAACCCCAGAGAGGAGAGGGAAGGATGTGGCCCCCTTGGTCCCCAGCTCACTCTTGCAGCCTGTGCTTGGAAGCTCCTTGATTCCATGACCCTTCCTCAGAGCTGTGCCAGGAGCTGTGCAGGAAGGAAGGAAGCTCTGGAGAAGCTGCTGGTGACACTTGGCAAATGCAGAAAGGGAGGATCATGAAGGAAGGAACACTTGTCCTGAGCTTCACCACACAGAAAAAGGAAGTGTTCCTGTTACTCACGGGGCTGAACTCACACACATCCTTAAGAATTTGTGTTCCTTAAACATCCCAAGTCTCTCCTTCTGTGTAGGGTCCCCTTAATGAGAGGCAGCCCTGTGGCACTGCCCTGTCCCTGTCCCCGCAGCATCACAGGCTCATACAGGACTACCCACAGACTGCGCTTTATTCATTCCTCATGTTCCTTCGGGCTGGTAGCAAGAAAGCAGAGGCTACCCAGCAAGACAGAGATGTTCTTGCAAGATGATTCTGCTTCCCCTGCAGCCATTCACCTGAGGAACTCTAAGCCCTCACATTTGGAACAAATATCACTTTCTTTGCCATCCTTTCTAAGGCCTTTGAGAATCAAAACTTATAACACCCTCTGGCCCTTTGTCCTTATCTCCAGAGAGCGCTTTGAAGTGAACAAAAGCATCTCTGGACTTTCTTTTTAATATCCTAAACTAAACTCACACATGACATTCCTTTACCCCTCATAAAGCTGCATCATGAGTGTGTCTGTAGCTGTGTGGATTGTATTTTCAGAGTTATTTAAGATTTGCTGAGCTCTGGCACTTTAAATCCTGCAGGGAAATGAGTTTCAAAGGGTTTGATCCCACGTGCATTTTACATTCTAACGGGGAACATTTTCAGCAGAATAACAGGTAAGTTGAAAAGTCTCCACTTTTCATGGGAAAACAGGAGCCCAGTAAACCCAGCTCCCTCTGGTGTCCACCAAAGAAAGAGCTGTGCAGTTCTGGGTGATTTATGATGTGAAAATAGCTGTAACTTAGATATAAAATCACCCAGAGAAGCGTCTGCTCCTCCTCCCGTTGCTGTTCCTGTAGCCCTGGGCCTGATGCCATGGGCTGTTAACAAGCACATGTTCAGAGCTCTACCCTGACTTTGAGCAGCAGACACTGCCTGTGGAATTACTGCTGAATCAGGACCAAGATCTTTCTTCTCATGATTGCTGGATCTGAGAATTTTAGGTCTGGGAATAGAAAAAGCCAATATAAATGTACGTGCTGAGGATGGAAAGGGATAAATTTGGGCAGCTCTTTAATAGTGATTAGTCTTTCTAAGTGACAGCTCTAGATGGGAAGTGGAGGATAATACTGTAGAGCCAGTCAAAAGCATAAAATATCCATTTTGGAAAATGTCCAAAGTGTTAGGGGTGACACTGTGGTTCTTCTAAACACTGATGCAATGCCTCAAGCTGTGGCCCAGAGGTAAATGCTCATGAACACACACACAGATGTTGATGTCTCCAACCCATAACTCAGGAAAAGTCTGGCAGGGTAGTGGGGAAAAAAAAAAAAGAGCAGATAGCTATACTGAGACCTCATCATAGCTAATCTCAGTTGTGTCTAGATATGAAGGTGAAAAAGATGGTGGGAAACAATCTGGGGACAAATTCTTGGGAAAAAACTACTGAGTAAAAGCAAGAAAGAATTTTCTTGTTTGTTTGCTCAAATCACTGTTATGCTCTAGGACAGCAGTGTGTTACACACCTGATCAACAAGGCAAGTTATTTGACTGACTTGTCTTACATCTAACAGTCCTCCAAAGTGTGATTTTTGAACCAGCAGCATCCAGCAGAGATCTATAGGTGATTTCAGAGCTGGAAATCCAGGATTTTGAGTGATTTTCTTGCAATAAGAATTATTACAAGAATTAATTACAATTGTTTCAATTATTATAGAATGATCTCGAGATCATTATGTATCAACATTTTACTCTAGCTGTGTGCTCTTGGGTCAGTCCCTGAGACTGGGAGTCCCATTATCTTTCCAGCATCTGAAGTGAAGTTCTCAGTTGCCAAACTAACCTCACCCTGGTTGGTTCTCAACAGAGGTGCTACACTAACAGACTACACTAAAGAGCATCCAAAGCCTCCTTCCCTCTCTATAAGACAACACAGTTTTATCTTCCACCAAAAGCAACATGAAAAGCACTCCTAAGCCACCAGCAGTGGTCTCTGCTTTTTGAAGCACCTGTAAATCAAGGAGACCCCTTTGAAGTGAACCAAGGAGATGCCAAAGTAACCTCTATTAACCCAGATGTTACGCCCCACAGTGTTCACAGTGCTCACGATTTGGCAGTTGAAATTTGAAATTTGTGTGCACTTGGTCATAGTGGCAGGTTGGGAAAAAGGATTTCATTCTTCTAAATGCCATCTCTAATGAAAAAGTGGTTTGAACTTGAGTAGCCAAACATAGGGATCTTTTCCCACTATTAGCAGTGAGAATTGTTGGCATGGACTCCTCTCTGCAGTGGCACAGCCCCAGCATTTGGGGACCTTTAGCATGGAGTGGAAAAAATTCTGAGGGTATAATCCTCTCTGTGTGCTCAGTCCATGCACCTGGTGAAGTATTTTCTGTTCCTGGAATCAGAGCCAGGATAGAAGTCTGAGACAGGGAGTGAGTCCAGAAGTGGCCACAGAGCTGCTCCAAGGACTGGATCCCTCTGCTCTGGAGCCAGGCTGGGACAGCTGGGGGTGTTCCCCTGAAGAAGAGAAGGATCCAGGGAGACCTGAGAGCCCCTTGCAGGGCTAAAGGGGCTCCAGGAGAGCTGGAGAGGGACTGGGGACAAGGGATGGAGGGACAGGACACAGGGAATGGCTTCCCAGTGCCAGAGGGCAGGGACGGATGGGATATTGGGAAGGAATTGTTGGCTGTGAGGGTGGGCAGGCCCTGGCACAGGTTGGGCAGAGAAGCTGTGGCTGCCCCAGCCCTGGAAGAGTCCAAGGCCAGGCTGGAGCAACCTTGGCCAGTGGATGGTGTCCCTGCCCATGGCATGGGTGGGACTGGGTGGGCTCTAAGGTCCTTCCTACCCAAACCCTCCTGTGATCCTGTGATTCAAAGCAGGGCTCACACCCCAGCTGCTTCCCTTGCCTTCTGCTCGGAGCCTTCACTCCCAGACAGAGCCCTGAGCTCCTGCTGAGGATAAACCTGCAACTGCCTGGCAACTCAGTGTCCCTGCAGTGAAAATTCATGAACTGTTTACAGCCTGGAAATCTGCATTTTCTACTTTACCTTCTGCTCCCTGTCCTGGCCAAGAGCAGTTCAGGCTCAATGACACATCAAAGCCCTGCCAATGAACTCCAGCCACGAGTGGAGCACAAACCGTGAGGCTGCTCCATCCTCGGCTCCTGTGCAGACGGCGCTGGGACCAATGGTAATTAATAACAAATTATTGGCATGGCATGTCTAGACATCTTCCCAGTGGGAGCTGGATGAGATCCTGGGAGTTCACTGCATACCAAACACCACACATCCCAGCCTGTGACTGGATTTGCAAGTAAAGGGCTCCATTTCCTATGACTTAACCTAAAGGCCACCCAATACTGCGAGCCCAAAGAGGGCATTATTAGCTAATAAATAATGACTATGAAAGAATAGACTAAGTTTAAAACTCAGTAAGAAAAGGAATAAAATGACTGAGCTCTGAAGAACAGCTATGATGAGTAAATAGACACTGCTGCTGGGAAAACTCCTAATGGAATAGTTCAATAAAGTCCGTATGTCCTGCACTGTAATATTCCAGAGCTGATAAAAAGAAATTACTTTAGAAGCAGCCAAATAACATTCCACAGCCATGTACCCTGAGTGTTTTAAGACATCTTGTAGTAAGGACAGAGCAACAAGACCTTTTCTTAAGCTGGAGCCAGCATGAATTAACGTATCTCGTTGCTCCTTGCTTTCTCTTTCCTTTGTCTAATCCCTCCCTCCAACAGCTGTAGTTAACAGTTCTTTCTCTTTCACTTCGTTAGCTCTGCGTGGGTGAAAATGAGGAGTGCAAAACGTGGGTGGAAAACTTCTCAGCTGTCTGACTCTGGAAGAGCTGGGCTGGAGGTGCGAGAGGGAGACGGAATTACAGGAACTTCAGCAGAGACCCCGCGAAGAAAATATTCAACTAACTCCCAATCCATCTACTTGAATGGCACAGAATAACACTTGTTTGCATAGCCTGACAATTCTGATCCATGATGTTGGTTCATTCATTCAAAACATGCTAAAGGATGGACTGAGGCTGAGTGGTAAGAGAAGCCTGTGAGCCAGCTGAGACCTTCCATGTTTGCTCCTGTCTCGGGCAGTGGGTGTTTCTCTCCCTGTGCAAGGAGAACAAGCCTCTTCAGAGAGTGCAGCAGGAAAGGTGCTGGACTGGGCTGGAAACTGGGGAAACTGGAGGCTTGAGGTGCCTCTGGAGGAAATGGCATTTCTTTATCTCTAGTACAGATGGGCAGATCACCCTCTGGCCCTGGGATTGGTGGGAAGGTCCTGACCAGGACTGAGCAGTGACCACCCCCTGCATCTTCCTCACAGCCTGTGACTGCAGGAAGGAATTTAGGAGGGCAGGGAAGACACAGGGCCATTTCTGATGTCCTTGCTGCTCACCAGGCTCTCACAAGGCCTGTCAGGACAGTGTGGTGCAATCCGTGTTGTCCTGTGCTTGGGTAGTGCCTGAAACATCTGGGCTGCTCTCCCAGGGAGTGGATTCCATGTTCCAAACCCCTCCTGTGCCTGTTCACCTTCCCTGCCAGGCACTGCTGGACAGGCCTGGTGGAGCTCACTGACACTGGGCACCCACATGGGGACAGGTTTAATCCCCCTGGCTGAGCTGCTCACACACTGTGCACCAAACACACCCCACTGCTCAGTGTAGCCTTTCTGTTCCTCCAAGAGGTCTAAAACTGGCATTTTTGGGTCAGTTTTCTCAAGTGGTTGCAGAAACACCCCCGTGGCCAGGCCACTCTCTCACATCTACATGAAAGGGAGAAGAGAGATGAAAAGAACCCCCCAGTGAGGACTGAATTATGGATGAGCCTTGCTGTTCTCCTCTGCTGGCTCCTCTTCTCCCAAGCTCAGGCCAGGGTGTTATTTTGCTAACAGGAAAGAAAACAAAATAGTAACCTAACTCCTTGTGACTTGAAGAGGAAATTCAGGCCGTTCCTGCAATCACAGGTGTTTCACCTGGTTGGAAAAAGCAGGATTCAGAGGGAGGTACATGGGGCTTTAAATACCAAAGGGAAAAGTTCAATATTGACTCAAAACCACTGGGAAAATGACTCAAACACAGTGCAGCGGCCTCAGCCATTTGACCAAAACTTCAGTGAAGTCCATTATACCCTTAACCATAACCACATGCTTTTCCTTAGGGATGAGGCTCAGCCTTTGGAAGGAGGGAAGGAGGTGAAATTCACTTCTCTATCTATGGAATAATAATGGAATCATCGTTAAGATGATGATGACAAGACAGCTCAATTTTACACGCAACTCCTGTCAAGAGTTGTCTGAAGATCTTCATGTGATCAAAGAGCACATCAAACACCAGGGGTTTGCTGGAAAAATGTGTGCTTGCTGCTTTGCCAGCTTGCTTTGAGAAAGCTTCTGGATCTGGTAATCCCAGGGCAGTTGTTCCCATGTTTTTATCAGCTCTAGACAGTTAATGCATGTTTTCATGCTGAACCAGCAAGTGTTGCTGCAGCTCTTGGAGGGTGAACTCTGGGGATGCTGAGGAATCCTAGGGATCAGGTGAATTCCAGCTTCTGCTGCATGATCTAGCATTCATTGACAGGCTCAAACCCCACAGGCAAATCACCAAGCTCAGCTAATCCCAGCTTCATAACACAGTCCATGAAAGCCCTGCTCAGTCACACTCCAGCATCTCCATTATTTTATCTGCCCAGTCAATGCTGATGAATTACTTGCACCAAGTGCTGAAACCTGAGGTTCATATATCTAATTATATTCAGTCATAATCTAATTATATTAATTTGCATAAATCTTAATCAGGACATAAAAATCATTAGGAAACACCTCAGACTGTGTTTTCAGCCAGTGGATCAGCAGGAGATGAAAACAATGAACATACTATAAAGTGTAAAATTGCGGGGCTCGTAACTTTAATACTGAAATACGTAAAAGCTGAAGTTAAAGGGTTGTAGGGTGAGCTACAACCCCCGTGGAGCATGTCTAAAACCGAACAATTCAGGATGTCTGGGGTGTGCAGAAAGAGCTGAGATGCTGTGCAAGGAGCAGCCTCGGGGCTGTTGGTGGCACTCAGAGTGCCCCAAGCTCCTGGGGACAAGGACACCTTTGAGGACTGCGTGGGGACCTTGGATGGATGTTCCCTTGTGTTCCTCACTTCCACAAAGCAGGACAATTCAGCAACCAAGAGATATTTTGAGTCAGAGCAACTGTGAAAACTCTTTTCTGTGGGGACTAATATAACTTGAAGACTAATCATCAGACACGAACTAAGCTCTGGGACACCAGATCATATATTCTGACAGACTGTATATAGAGATATGTGTGGAGGGAAACAGTAGCCAGGAGAGCCACAAAGCTCTTGTCAGCCCATGCAGCAACCAGAAAGTCTTAGAAAAGGACAAAACTTTGTAGGTACACATGTTGCTGACCTCCATTTCTGTAAGTAATTAGTACTTTGTAGGGATCTAAAATTCTTACAGAATATATGGAAACCAGAGCTTAAGGGGCACTATGCCATCTAAATTAATCCAACTTATAAATATCTTCCAGCAATGGAAAAACTCGGAAATGAAAGGCGAACAGTGATTTTCTCCTTCCCAGCCCAGCCTCCATGTTTTCAGATTATGTTTAGAACTGGAAAGTCTCCATGAGAAAGAGCAGATGGCTAAGGCCCTGGTCCTGCCAGATGCTGATTTAGTCTGGACCTAATCCAGAAGAGCACTTTAGCTTTGTGCTCAACTTTAGGCATGGGAGTAACTCAAGAATCATCCTCTGCTTAAAGATGTACCAGGACATAAGTTGCATCATCCAGCACCTTGCAGGATTAGACCATCTGGACCATCCACCTCAAAACCTGTACCTGCAAACCCACTCCTGAAGCCACAAGCTTCTGTAAGTCCAACAGGTGAATCAACTGTCCAAGCCAGAGCACAGCAGAGCCAGGAGGCTGTGATGGGAAGCCCCAGTGGAACAACTCAGCAGCTTCCCAAGGGTCAGCATGGACAAGTCTAAACACCACTCAGCACCACCACAGGTACCCAGGAGGCACTGAAGAGGTAATTCCTGGCTGGGATCTCTGCAGCTTACACAGGAAGAGTGATCCCAGTGCTGGTGGAAGGGGGAGCAGGCAGGGAAGGGGAGAAGGAAGGCCTTCCCACCTTCATGGAGCCAGTAACATGGCTGGCAGCCCAGATGGGTGAGGAAACGTGGACAACTCCAGCTGAGGCAGGCAGGGCCTGCAGGTACCTGCACACCCTGAGAACAAGACTAGTTAGCTCTGGCCACTGCAGGCCTCTCACATCACACCACTGTTCTGCTCCTGCTGCTGGGAGGAGGCAAAGCTGGGCAGGACAAAGTGCTCTCTAAGTGTCTCAGGGTCCTTATCTGTGCTCACTTCACAGGACCCCTCGCACTGAACTGCTCTTACACTTCTCAAGACTGAGGGAGACACAGAGGGTTTTGACCCAAAACTCTTTGGAGAGTTTGAAACAGGCCGTGTGACATCATTCCCAGAATTCTGGTGTTTATAAGCAGTGAAATGATCCCAGAACTGGGGAATTCAAAGCATGCTAATAACCCACAGCAGCTTGGGAACCACGGGACAGAGCTCCAGGACAGAGCTGCATGTGAGCACAGAGCCCTGGGAGCAGCCCTGGATCCCATGGCATCCCATGACATCATGGCTCAGACTGCATCCCACACATACCTTTGTTTTATCCCCGTGCTTCATGGGCATGTTCTCAATACTTCTGATCTTGTTGCCTGTGACCACGTTCTCCCGAACCACCACTCTCTGCCCCTCGGGTTTGCACCTGCAGGGAGAGGAGCAGAGATGGTGTTCAAGAACAAGACACACCACAGATAACCAGGGAGGTGTGCTGAGAAGATTGTCAGTCTTAGACAACAGTCTTCAGTCTTGAAAAACTCCCAGAAGTCTGCTGTCACTCTGTGAAACTACTGTATCCCTTCATTACAGCATCTCAAAACTATTTACAAACCACCTTGACAGAGGTAGACAAAGATCAGCATATGACCAAATAGGAACTCCCCAAACTTTCCAAAGGTTGGAAGTGGAAAATACTGGGTAAATAATTAAATCATGTGAGTTTAATCTGGCTAATATGAGTTATATTTCCAAATTCAAAATGCCAGTCACTCAGAACTGCGGGGAGGTGATTGTTGCTGGGTCTGTCTGCTCAGCTTTCCAACAGGAAGTGTGGGCGGAGGGAGTAGAGTGGATAAATACTGGGATAATGACAGCAGAAGGCTCCTTTAATGTTGCCCATTCCCCAGTAGACAGCACATTTGTGCCAGTTATCAATCTTCATTCTGGAATATGGACAAAGAGCAGCGTATGGAACATCATGTGGAAAGGCACATGGGCACCATCCCAGGCAAAGGGCTTTTCTGTCTTCCTTAACTCGGAAGAACTGAGCAGACACAGGTTTTCTCATGCTTAGAGGTGCAAAGGCTCTGAGCCCACCGCAGGGTTACGGGAGGTAAAATGAATCTCGACATCTGTAAGTGCTGACCAAGGGCTGATCCTGCAGGAAACGAACCCATAAATCAGCCCTGCCTTGGTCAAAGCCACACAAGACACTTGGGCAACTCCCTGGGTCAAGGGAGGGTTTATAGCTCTCAAAAGAGCCTAATTAGATGTCTTGAGTGACTTCCTGCAAGGCACAATCCTGTCCTGAGGATGAAGGGAAAAAACCCGGAGGAAGTCAATCACATCACAGCTCTAAGGAACAATGATGGTGTTTTGGGATTCAAAGTGCACTGGTGAGGCAGAGGAGGGGGAAGAGAAAGAGAGAGAGAGAGAGGAAGTGAGACAACAGAAGGAAACGGGGTCTGTGTCATTTCCCACAGGAATCCTCCTCCAGCTTCTGCTGGCGAAAGATAAGGCTGCCCCAGGGGCCAGGAGAGGTAGAGCCACTCTGCAATTGTATTTAGATTGATAAGATCAGAGAGGCAGAGCTGGAACAAGGGTTATATGAGGTCCTTTGCCAACAGGTCACTGGTTTGAGTCTGGCTCAGTTCAGCATTCATGACCAATTCTCTCTCCCTACACAGAAAGGCCTGGAAAAGATCTCAGGTCATCTCTGTGGCCTTCCTACGGAATGCAGAACCTGTTTCCATGTGGTGTTTCCATTCTGCTCTGGTTGAACTCCCTGAAGCAGCAGCTCCTGTTGCTGCCCTGCAGTGCCAACAGCCTGACCTAAGCCAGCAAATCTTGGCTCCTTATTGCCATGGGAGCAGTGGAACTCCCTGGCTGAGGTACCGGGATACTGCCCTGGAGAGGGACACAAGGTCCCTCTTTAGACCCAACCTGAGAGTGGATCACCCAACACCACTGGGACTGCTGCAGCAGAGAGCCTGGGAAAGCAGCTTCTGCGTGCTTTCTCCCTGAGTCATGGCTGTCTCATTGCACTTGGAACAGCACTGGACTGGTGACAATGTAAGGAACTATCTGACACTTTTCTCTCTTGCTTTCTAGACCTGCCTTATTTTTTTTATGGGTGGAAAACCTGCCTTCAGCCCTCTCATTGCAGAGAAGAGTTGAAGTGGTCACTTTAAACTTACTTCACACAGTTCAGATAATATACAAGGTGCCTGTAAGTCAAGAAGAACATACACACCAGACATAAGTTGGGCTCATACCCCTGGAGATCTTAAATGGGGAATCACTGCTTGGGGTTTTAACCAACAGAAATAAGACGTGGTGGAAAGAAACAGTGACTTGGAACTACCATTCTGGAACATGTTCACCCTTCGGAGTGTCACTTACACTGAGTCTGTGAGGCTGCAGGGCTGCCACTTCCACTCGATCCTGGGCTCAGGATTCCCACTTGCAGTGCAATGGATCTTGTCTTTACTTCCTAATTCCACCCGCACGATCTTATCAAAATCAGTTTCCTTTTCGTAGATTTTGGGTCTCTCTACAGGAAAAAACACAACACACCACAAAAAAATGCAAATGAGCAAATTTACTTCCACGGTCACGATCCTGGTCCTGTTTCCATAAAGAGTTTTGAAACCTTTGGCTGGGAGAAGTGGTGATCTGATGAGGCTCTTGATGTGCTGGGGGAATTCCCAGCAGTACTACTGGGAGCATTCATCTGCAGAAATGTGGGTGTTGGCCATGCTATTTCAGAACTGCAATGCTACCACGTTCATCCTAATCACCCTCAAATGTTGTTGTGGACCTGCTGTATCCTGGAAAAGTTACGCCATGAAACACCTACTAGTCAGGCACTGCAGGATCAGGGTGTGAGTCCATGTACTGTGGGCATGTACTCCTGAGAGGAACCTTATCAAGCAGCTGCTGCTCTGCAGTGCTGTTACCATTGTGCAGGCCCTCAGGGGTTGGCAAAAACAGTCTTTTTGATCCGAAATCTTTGCCTTCCTTTTCTGTTTATGTGTAACGTGCTCTGGACGAAGGGGAGAAGAAAGCAAGGAAGAAGTGGCGTGGAGAAAACACTCACAGAGTAATGCCAAGGAATTCTCACCAGCAGCAAACCCATTAAAAATGTCATGGCATTATTCACATCTGGAGGGGTTGCAAGATCACACCCTTGGACTGGAAATCTCTCAAGAACAGACTTTAGTGTGACACTTTGAGGGCTGCTTGTTGCCAGCAGGAAAGAAAGGCTTGGTCCCCTCTCCTTCCAGCTCCCACAGGAACACACGGAGAGGAGAAATAACGCTAAAAAACCCCCAAAGTGAACTGAACTTTTCCTAACCTCGCACAGGGTGGGTTGGAGTTTGGGGTGAGAGCACAGGCTCTTCCCTTATGCAGACAGCTCTGCCCATCCCTCACCGTATCTCTTTGTCTGCTTCTCATAACAGGAAATCAAACAGATTTATTGGTCGGGGTCCTCCTTGGGACACCCCAGTGCAGCCAAGTGTGGCTGCTCTGCACCGAGGCCTTTTGACAACTTGGGAAGTGAATGCAGATTAGATTTCTATTTTTTGGGTTAACTTATTTCTTCTGCTGTCAAGGAGACCCAAGATATGTAAATATGAGCTACTGCCCACCTCATCAATCTTGAGCCCTTCCCCTCTTTTTTTTAATAGCTTTTTTTCCTTTCCACCCCTTTACTCTTTCGAGAGGACTGACCAGGCTGATCCCATGTCTTGGTGGGATCCTCGCTTTCCATCTCTCATGGTCAGACTCTGAAAGATCTTCTGACCTCATCACTGTGTGAAAACCCATCAGCATTTCCTTCTCCACCACAGGGAAGGAGCACTGACTGGAGCTGGGTCAGCCATACCCCATGCCGTAATAAAACATTATCTGCTTTAAAGAACCTTCATTAGGTCCTGATTAACCTTTCCCCTCAGAAACCCAAATGACAGCCCATGTTTGGTGTGGCTCTTGTGTTCCCTTCTGCTTTTTTGATCCCCTTTGGTTGGGTCTCGTTTCCCCCACACATGATGTGCTATGAGGCTCCAAACCTCCCCTCCTCACTCCTTTGCTCCTCCAGGGAGAGGGACTATCTGTCTCTGAAGGAGAAGATGGAGAAGGGAGCAGACAGGGGAGACTTGAGCCCAGGGTGAGGGTCTCTCACACTGTCCTGCCCCTCTGTGACACACACACAGTGTTTCCTGAACCGCATCGCTCTGGCTCACACGACGTTCTGCTGACCAAGTGCTTGGAGATTCTTGAGCAATTCTCAGGAAAACGTTGAAATTCCTTGTAACTGGCATCTCATTTCCCACCATAAAATTATTTCTGATCATAAAACTAATTCTGTAAAGCTCCCCAGAGAGAGAAGTACATTTTTCATTATCTCGGACATTTTTTCTTTTCAGTCTCAAATCCTGTGTTTGGCATTTCTGGACTGCACTCAAAAGCATGATTTTCACTTGGAGAAAGAGACTCTGAGTTCAGTGTGAAAGGTTACTCAAGTGTTATGTTTCTGGGCTGTAAGAACAAAGGCTTACACACTTAGGGAGGGAGACTGTGTGGATTTGTGTGTGTGGAAGAGCATGGGGGCACAAGGGTTGATCACAGTCTTTCAGTATCAGGAGATTTTTCTGTATTCTTGGTTGACTGTTATTTAAATTGTCCTTCTAAAAAAGAAATCATAATTTTAACTTGATCCAATTCTAACAAGAACATACAGGAGTGACAAATTACTTTACTGCACAGCACTATTAAATATGACTCGAGACCTAAAATGAATCAAAATGATTCATCAATTGAAATAATCATTATTTATGAAGTTTAAGCAATTATTTTCTTAAAATTTGAGGGGTTGGCTAAAAGTGCCTCCCCATCTGTTCTTTGTAACACAGTCAGTGAGGGGTCATAGCTAATTATGGGCACGACACGCAGAGATTGAGGCAGTTCCTTGGTGTCTCCCTTCCCCCTGCAGGTTGGGATGGAGGTGGGTGGCACTCTGCAAGTGACTCTGAACTGCAGCTGAACACAGTGAGGATGAGGCTCTTCCACAACCCTGAACGTGCCTCCTCTGTGCCAGGGGGGTGTTGGCCCTGTTGGTTTGTGGTGGGGAATGCAGAGGGCTTGGATGAGGGATATTTCTTGGGATGAGAACTTCCCAAACTTTGCTCACTGTCATGGCCGTTCTACCTCCTGTTGTGCCATCCTGAAGCTTTTCAATTCCCTTTGCTCAATGCTGGGCCAAATCCTATTTCCAGGAGTTGCCTCCCTCAGTGATGGAACACATTAATGGGGCTCTGTGGTAGGACTGGCCTTTTAGACTGGCTCAGACTGGGTGGTTGCTCAGCGGGTTGGCAGCACTTTCCACATCAGCCTGCTGAGGAGTTTTGAGCCCAAAGCCTGGGATTACTGAGAGTGCACATAGCAGTGTGCTTCTCAGGCAACTCTCCCTCCTCCAGACAGTGCTTTGCTCTTTCCCCTTTGCCCACTAAGCAGCACAGTGGATTTTCCACGAGCTCATCCCTGCTCGAGTCCAGGTGTGGGGAAGGCTTGGGGTACAAATCCACTTGTGAGCAATGCCAAATCCAAGGGCATTTCTTGTTGCATCCAAAGTGTGGATTTCATTAACACACCTATACCTGGGTTTTCAGCATGCAGAAGAGAAGGAGCTGTTGGGAGCAGGGAGCTGTAGGACTGGAGGGTCTCCAGAGGTCCCTCCAACCCAGCCATTCTGTGCTTCTGTGATTGAGTGATTTAGTTCCGTGCTTGGTGATTTCACAGGCATGGCACTACTGGCAGAACAGGAGGTGGGTAATCAAGGAAAGCACCTCTGCACAGCCCTTGTTCCCACTGCTCCTTCCCTCCTCCAGGAACTGCAGAGCAGGGTCCTCCTGCATCCTCGGAGCTCTGGGACTGTGCCGAGCCTGACCTGCCCCCTCTGCCACCCTCACCTTGGGTCACCTCCCTGTGGATCCTTGTCCCAGCCAGCAGCACCTGCTCCAGTGGTGCTGAACTGCCAGAGCAGATCCTCCCTCACACTTCCCTCCTGATCCAAATATCCTTTGCTAGCCTCTTCCTTGGCTTTCCACTCCCCCTGCACAGGGATCTGCTGCTCCCTCCCAGCCTCCCATCTCATCCCCTTGGCCATCACCCTCCCAGGCTGGATTTTCTCAAGCAGAAGCCAAACCAACCTTAAAAGCTTTCTGCTGCCTGGCTGCCTGAGGAAGGCGCGATGTGCAGATGGCTTTAAATGTATCCAAAGAAATGGCTTTTCTCCCTCCCTGGCTCCAAGTGTGACTGTATCCCCAGCTCGCTTTGCGGAGGTGCAATTGCTGGTGTGAGAGCTGACCTGAATAACTAAACACTTTGCTGCTGCTGCTGCGCTGGGAAATGCAATCAAAAAGCAGTTCTGTTTACTGTGCCTTTCAAATTGATCAGCATTATGCAAATCTCACCTTACTTTCTGGTGTTATCTCTACTTTGTGGCATTAGGAACAAATAATATGGGCAAGGATTAGGACATTTAACCCTCTGACGTTACTCCCTCTACATTCAGTGCAGGTGCTCTGAGGGGTGGTACACCTGTCACCCAGAGGAGCATCCAAATACAGAGAAAGTTTCTCTGCCTTTTTTAGGGAAACTTTGCTTTACTCTCAGCGACCTCTCACAGAACTGCCATTTATGTGCCTTCCCCTCTACCGTTTAAACCAGGCTTCAAAAAATGTTTTCTTATGAAGCACATCATTAAAATAGCACAGAATGGCCAGTGGAACATAAGTCTCAGCCTTAGGTACTTTGCTGGACATGGGGCTTCGTTAAAACCATTGATACAGTGGCAACTGGTTTGCTATTTATCCTTTCCCAAAAGCAAAAAATATTTGCACTTCAGAGTCTCTCATCTGATGTTCCTGCGGCACTTAATGGAAACACAAGCTCTGCAAGTGGAGCCAGGTGAATATTCTGTAAGGCAGAGAGGGATGTTATTAATGCAGACTGGGACTGGGCAAACAGGAGGGAAAGGGAAAACAAATCCCAGAAAGAGAAAGTTGTCTGGGCTTGGCTCAAAAGTGATCTCTGGAGTTTGGTGAGGGTTTTCTGTCTGTCTTTTCTGGAAAGGGAAGGGAAGGGAAGAGAAAATGAGTAAAATGACCTTAAAACACAACTTTTGTTTCAGACTGACCACGACATTGTGTTTGACCCCACTGATTTTCTCTGAGAGCTTGTTCTGGGCTGGTTCTGGCTGCTGTTTTATTTCCCATAGCTCTGCAGCCAGGGCTGCTGTGAGGTGGGTGAGCAGCACCGTCCCCACGGCACCTCTGGGGAAGCAAATGCCACGACGGAACGAATGAGCGGCCAGAATCTCTGTGAGTCACCGCCACGGCCAGGAACAGAGGGAGGGGCAGCGATTATCGCTCTCCTGCCTAATCCCCAGTGCACACATTCCCTGCTGCTCCATTGTAATCCGCTGTGGTGGGCTGGGAATGCCAGGGGATGGGAGCCAACGGGAGACAAACCGGGCAGGTGGATCCCGTA